CACTCTTTGTTCGTCGTTGTTGTGGTTCATCCTCTTTGCCCATGCACATCTTTAGATTTATTGGTCACATACTCTAAATACACCCAAGGGCCACATAGTGGGGTTATGGGCATTATAAAATAAATACATAAAAACAAAAATGACAGAAGGATGAGAAGGATGAAGACTTAGATAGAAAACTAGCATTTCAAGGGAAGAGAAAATTATATTTGGGTGGTTGATTGGCAACCTAGCAGGTTAGATTCAAGCATTATTGCCACCATATTTTGTTCATCAAAATAGAGACCTTGATTTTCCAGACAATTGCTGCAGAAATGCTTAATTTTACAAATATCAAATGTTTTAAAAGTGTGTTTTCAGTTAGAACTTTTCATATTGCCTTGTAGTAAGTGCAACCAAAACAGGAGAGTAATTTTTCCTCTGTGATTCACCTGCTTGTGCATAATGCTGTACATGKAATAATGAGGCTGCCTTGGTTCATTTTCATTAGCCAAACAGACAGTAGTAAGAAAGAAAAAATAAACAAAAGATRCCTTAACGTGAGTAAAAGTATACCAGCTACTAAGAATAAAGACTGCCTTAGAGAACAAACCTGTTGTGTGTCTGACGTGTTAGGAAAGAGTATGTTGACTCTGAGTATCATTGTTTTTCTTCCTGGTAGGATTAACCTGCAACAGGAGCTTCTCTGGCACCTTGGAAACCAGAATGTTGTTGTTATTGCTATTACATGTTTCTAGGAAATGATAGAAATAAATGTTTTTTCAAGTTACTTCAGCTGTGGTAGTCTTCGCCTTTGTCAGTAATACTTCTTTCCCCCTTTTTTTCCATGTAAGATGACAACTTGGAAGTATGCTTTTAAATTATTATCATAAAATTAAAAGGAATTGTAAGTAAGAAAATACTCTTGCATATGGATTTTAGAGCTTCTTGTGGCTGTGAGAACAGGGAGTTTTCTAGAAAAATAACTGATCATAGAGATGATGGAGTTGTACAGTTCACCAGTACAGCATAATGTACAAAGTAGTGGGAAGGGGATAAGTTAAAGTAAAAAATTAGGAAAGAACTTAGGTTCTTTGGGCACTGTTTTGTAACATCTTTAGCCTTTCCTTGCTGACAAAGCAAGGAATCTGAACAGAGTAAAGAGAAGATCTTGGTTTAGGTTACTGTTTTTGCAAGTTACCTGCCTGCTGTAGTTTTTATGTAGTGCTTTCAACACTGTTTTTATCTGCAATCCTTTCAACCTTGTCTTTTCAGACACTGAGAGCTTTGAATCAATGAGCAACTTGAATTGCTTATTCTTCACCTGGTGCAATTCTTCAATCTCCATAGTTGCTGTTTGTTTGTTCTCTTACAAGGTGTGTGGTAAGAGTCCTTTAGGTCCAAATCTTGCTCTGCTAAATTAAATAGGAATCATAATTTMTGCTTTAGCAAAAGTGGGATTTAGTCCTCTGTCCCCTGCAAACAGCAGAGTTCTCCCCAGGTGTCCTATTTGGCAACCCAGTTTCTACTACCTTGAACATATGTGTTCTTCTTTATATTCAGGGTGAAGATGATRAAGAAAATGCCTTTCCTCTTACAGTAACAATTAGCTCCTTATTATCCTAACAGGAAGGGCTACACACATCTATCAACAGTATTTATGACAACCCACATGAATGTCTAGTGCATACAAACATTTAGGTTAACTTTTCCCTGGTGATGTCTATAAGATATACTGGGACATCCTTGTGCCAATAAGGAAGAGATGTTTTTTTAAACAGTGCAAAGAAAWTGCTCTTGAGTGATTCATTAGTTTAGATGCTATGTAGAGTAGTAGAYGGGAAAAGATAATGAGGCTGTGAGGTCCTTTAGGATTGCTGCCTGCTCTGGTTTATGRAGTGGTGTCCTGTAAGTAATCCTGGGAATTGACTTGCCTTCAATCCCAAAACAGTTTGTAAGTACCTTTCCCAGTCACAGTGATGTTGTCTCCTCTCAAAAGATGGTGACTCCAAGTGTACAAAAGTAGCTGCTGACAAATGAGGARTAAGGATAGATGGAGCCGATGGAGWAGCTGGATTGCTACATTTGGTTTAAAGGGCAAGAGGTGTTTTGRCACTCCTCTGAAGCAGTGTCTCAATATATAATTTGTAATCCAAGTAACAATAGTGCTGCCTCAGAGGCAAATTTATTGCAATACTGAGTGCAGATAGCATCTCCTGCTGTAATTGTTTCTTGAGACGGGCYTTCCTTCTGGCTCACAACTGTCGTTCATTAGCATCATGAGGGGGCACGTAAACTTGACAGAGCAGCTTTGTAGGAAAATGATGTGGTTTGGCTGGGAGTCATCGCGAAGGAGAAGTACTTAATAGTCATGCAATACTGCAGTTACATATTGCGTATCGTATTAATGTTATTTATTACTCAAATAACTATGTATATATAGGGTTCAATATATGGGCCTGCGTGCGTKCATAAATATAAATACATACTAGCCAGTTTAAAGGATTAATTTGATGAGCTGGGGAGGACAGCACAATTCAAAAGCAGCCCGTTCACAGATAACGACTACAGATAATGCCAAGCATGTATCAGTAAAGACTTTACAGTGTTTAAGCATTAAAGTCCGTGYTTGTGCAAGACTTACTGCATTTCTCAGTGCAAGGCACGTTGGTGCAGTGCCTGGTATGGTCGATGTTAGAGTGATTACGGGGTTTTTACACGTTCCCTTTGCTCTGGAATGCGTACACGTGCAGCAAGCAGCTGCTTCTCTCTCTCCCGTCGCTTCCCGGCCGCGGGCGCTGCCCCAGGAGCGGTGCTGGGGGTGCTGCGGCCGCTGGGGGGCGCCAGGGCCCCGCCGCCGGTTCCCCGGGAAYGGCGATCCCGCTCCTTTCCGCGGGGGAAGCGCTTCGGCCCGCTGGGCTCCCAAAGCCGCGGGGATGGAGCGCAACACATGCTCTCCACTTGCAGCTCTTCGGCAGAACCGCCCAGGCATTGTTTCTCCGGCAGTCGCTGTGGCTGCGGCCTCTCCCCAAGCAGCTCATGCCTTGCTCTCTGTACTTTTACTCCTCCCAGTATCTTGGATCCCCTTTRGTAAGGCCACAGGAGTGAGGTCACGAAACTGGCTCTTGAGAGCACATTGTTCATCCCCTATTTCACATCAGTGCTAGGCTGCGTTCCAGGCTGCACAATGCATTTACRGTGTTTAGTCACTCCCATGGTGCGGTAATATCTGTGATGATTAAGGTTTTTGCCTTTGTAATAAGTTTATTTGGAATGGCTARTACTCGTGGATGTGGCTGTGTAATCTTCTTTAAGGGAAATAGTMATTTCCCAAAAATTTCTCCCTCCGGCCTTCCTCTTCATCAGATGCCACCAGATGCAGAGTAGGTGCTAATATGGACAATGCGCTTTGTATAAATTCCAGGTCAAAATACATCCATTTCCAAACTAGATATTTAATTTCAAATTTGTTAAATTATGTCTCAGAAAATATTTATTATTATCTTATTTTTWAAATTTAAATTGATAACTGAAACAAAAAAAATTGTGTTCTCTGAGAGCATCTGTGTTCCTAGACATAGGTTTTATAACTGATTAAGGAGGCAGATTTAYATGAAAGCCTTGACCAAACATTGGTATTACATCTCCAGGCTGTGCATGAAGTCTCTTATTTTTGTTAGGAAAATTAATCCACAAGCACCAGAGGTTTATGTCCAAAAAGGAGACAGAGGAGTCCCRYAACTTTATTCATGAATAAAGGGAGAGSTMATGGRCATTTCCCATGGGGTCTTTCAAATTCATAGAGAACACAGCCTTTTTTTATCCTAATTTCCCGGCTGYCATTCCCTCTCTCTTTCCCCATTGGCTGACGTACTTGAGAGGTACAGGCTCCCCRAAACGCCTGATGAACCCCCCATTTCTATCATACATTGCCCCCTTTCAATATACATCTCTGTGTCTCTGCTCTTGTAGTCCATTAACATAGTCTGGGATAAGTCAATCAAAGGAATTCCTATGGAAATCCTTCCCATTGTTTCCTTCTATCTCCCAGTATCAGCCTTATCTTACCCCCCCCCCCCCCCAGTCAGTCTGTTTATACACTCCCTTCTCATTCCTTTCATTTTGTTGCCAWCAGAGTCAGTTGGTGTGTGGATTTGCTGCATTTACATCTGTACTATAGGCATTTGTGTAATGGAATTTGAAAACAAGTAACTTTGCATGTCCCTTGCACTGTTCCCACTCCTTTGCAACTGTACCTTGYTCTTTTATGTCCAGCTAAACAAGTTATTCCTGTGACCTCTTGGTCTAAAACTTGAACTTGCTTCTAAATATGTAAAAGCCACATGTGTGTCGGTTGCTCAGGCTTCTCCTCARTGTGGTAGAACATTCATATTCATTATTGCTTGCTGCCATGCATATTGAACGCAGACAGAATCACTATGCAGCAAGGAAAGACGAAAATGTGATAAACTTGTTTAACATGTTGCATGAATATCTATTAACTGAATGCACAATTTATTGTTCTCCTTTGCATAGGAAATKTGTAGTGGACACCTCACTGTCAGGGCATCAGTGATCTTCCCCTTGAAAACAAAAATAATCTTGTTATTGCTTCTACTAAAATGAGTGAATAAATATCTCAAAAACGGCTTTGTTTAGGGTGTTATTTATTCTAATTTGATTATTGGATCAACTCAGTCTTACTTTCAATTAGTTTTAGAATGTGTATAAATTACCTTATTCTTGCAAGGAAAAAAGATGCACTTCTTCAAGGCAGAGAACAATGCGAGTATATGAGTCATCCACCTAACCTTGTCACATAATCTCATTTTTTGAACTGTAGAATGTTGCTGTCACTAAAACTTTTATGTGATTGCTGTGAATGTATTGTCTCACTGACTTTGTAAAAGTCATTATATGTAGAGATATACGCTAAATACTTTAATGAACAGCAGGTAGAGATCCTAATGATGGGCCTGTAATATCTAAAATGGCTTACAATATTTTTTTTTCCTTTTTAGCAAACTTCTGAAGAGAAAGAAGTCTGAAAAAGGGCTGCAGGGAGTGACTGGAGAATGGTTTGAAGAAATAAAAAGAAGAAAATTTCAGAATTACATTGATGTCAATAGAATGTTAAAACCACCATTAGAGCATCAGATAAGGAAGAGCAAAAACACCCGTGAGTTGTATTTGTCCATTTCCTTATCTATATAATAATGATTACCAAACCTGTGTTTTACAGTATGTCAGAGTGTAATAGTTAAGGAGTTTCAGAAATTGCACTCCGTTTCATTCTCATATTATAGTTTTACCAAAGAGATATTTTCAAAATAAGTATGCTTCTTTAAGCAGATTGTCTTAAAAGTGGAGCTGGGATTCAGAACAGAAAATTCCTGATATTGTTATGCTATAGTCAGAATCACAGTATGGCCCAGGTTGGAAGGACATCAGAAGATCTTCARGTCCAACTTTTCATAGGAAAGGAAACATGGATGAGCTTATTTAGCACCATTTGCAGTCACATCTTGTAAACYTCCAGTGATGGAGACTCTACCATRTCCCTGAGGAGGCTGTTCTAGTGATTAATTGCTCTCAYTGTAAAAACTTGATTTATTAATCAAAATGCAGTTGCTGTAATTATAGTAAATACAGTGGTAGTTTCCCAATCAAAGCAGTGATATTTGCCTTGTACAAAAAGGTTGTGGTTTAACCCAGCTGSCAGCTAARCACTACACAGCCACTCACTCACTCCCYCACAGTGGGAYGGGGGTAAGAATTGGAAGGCTAGAAGTGGATTGGGATAAAGACAGTTGATAGATRAAGCAAAAGTCRCACACACAAGCAARGCAAAGCAAGGCATTCATTCACAGCTCCCCACGGTCAGGAAGGTGTTCAGCCATCGCCAGGGCTCCATCACRTGTAACGGTGACTTGAGGAGACAAGTGTCATCACTGTGGATGTCCCCTACTTCCTTCTTCCCCTAGATTTTATATACTGAGTACGATGCCATATGGTATGGGAGATCCATTAGGTCAGCTGGGGCCAGCTGTGTCCCCCTCCTGYCTCCTTRTGCACCCCCAATCCATTCACTGKTGAGKTGGGGTGAGAGGCAGAAAAGGTCTTGGCTCTGTTGTAAGTAAGGAAAGCARTAAGGAAAACATCCCTGACTTATCAATACTGTTCTCAGCACAAATCCAGAGCATTGCCCTGTATTAGCTACGATGGACATAATTGTCACAGCCTTCTCCTTGCCCCTTCTCCATCTTGGATTTACCCATATGCYGCAGTCTCTCAGGGGTATACATGCTCCAAGTAGAACCACAGTCTCTCCAGGAATTTACTTGCTGTGGCATGGACTTATCCACAGCCCCATCTGAGGTCTTGCACCTTTTGTAGCATGGCCTCCTCCATGGGYCGCAATGCCTTCAGAAATGCACCTACTCCAACCTGGCTTTACCCATGGCTGCAGTCCCTGTAGGAGAGTACCTCCTCTGTTGTGGTCTTATCCATGGCCACACACTTTTAGGTCCTCCAGCATGACCATGTGCACAGCCACAGATATTTTGAGGTGTACCTTCTCCAGTAYGGACTTATTCTTGTCCACAGTCCCTTCAGAGGTATACCATAACCATGGCACACAACCATTCCACCACGGAGCACTAGGCTTTAATGTACAGCCTRGCAAGCAAGCCCCATGGCAAGCACAGGAGCYTGTCTRTTAATAGCTAAACAGCAAGAACAGTGATAAATTCAGCCTAGCACAATCCACTGAAATCTGTTGTTACCTTCAACATTCCGAGCCCCACACTGGGCATCATAAAGGATTCTTGTGGTTTAACCCCAGCCATCAGTGAAGTACCACTCAGAGGCTCATTCATTGGGCCCCCATCAGGATGGGCAGGAGGCTAAAAATGAGAGAACTCRTGGGTTGARATAAAGACRGTTTAATAGGTAAAGGAAAAGCCTTGCAGATGAGGAAGGAAAGCAAAGAATTAAGTTATCCAGTTCCTGTGGACAGGCAGGTGTCCAGCCGTTCCCAGGAAAGCTGGGCTCCATCACACACAATGGGTGCTTGGCAAGACACACACTATCACTCTGAATGTCTTCCCTACCTTCTTCTCCCCTCAGTTTTATATGCTGASCATGGTGCCAYATGGTCTGGAATGTCCCYTGGGTCAGCTGGGGCCAGCTGTCTCAGCTATGTCCCCTCCYAAYTCCTTGTGCACCCTGAGCCTWCTTGCTTGTAGGGTRARGTGAGAGGCAGGAAAGGCCTTAACTCTGTGTGAGCCCTGCTCAGCAGTGACTAGAGCATCCCTATGTTACCAACACTGCTTCCAGCACAAATCCAGAACTGAGGCCATGCAAGCTTCTATGGAAAAAATTAACTATACCAGCCAAAATCAGCACCAAAAAAATTGGTTTTACCTAGTTTCCTTAAAAAACTAAAAGCACCTAAATGACATTTGRAATAAGTAGATGGGTTTGAGGGAGAAAGGTTTAAATATACAAATGGAAAGTTTTTTCTGGTAACACCAGGTTAAAGGCATGCCAGTGCTTATTATCAGGGCGAGTGTCAAAGCTGTCAAAGCCTGAAATGTTGGCCTGACCAGGAAGCAATTTCTTGAGATCTCATTTCACAGGTTCTGATGCCCATCCAAAATGAATATGCACAATAAACATGGTGTCCTATAAAAAGCATGATGTTCTGTACTGTCTTTCATCTTCCATCCAGATGGTTTTCATGCATAATACATGCTTTTATTCCATTCACACTTCTACATGTTTTTCATTGAGCTCTTCCTATTTGTGCTTCATAGCAACTGGAAGCAGAGTCATGCATTTCAAAAGAAAACTCAAACCCTAAAAAATTCCCTAAAACTACAGACCTACACAGAACAGATCTCAGTCCTTCCTGACCGTTTTCCCCCCTCTAGTCCACAGCTGCCTACTATTTTTCTCTTTCAGATATGGTCTAATTGATGGRTTAGCTAACTAAACTCTGTGTAATTGTTCTCTGGTATTTAGCTTTGAAASCTCTTGTTTCTATTTCAATCTGAARAAGGGGTTGTGTGCCTCAGAGRCTTGTCTGRTATTTCCAACTGTATAAATTGCCTAAATAAAAGGTRCTACTTCTACCTGTAMGYCTTGCTGTGTCTATATCCCTAGACCATCCTGGCTATGGCAGAGTACCATTACAACTCTCCTGATGTCACCTGCATTGTCAAGTCAATGCCACCAAGAGGTTAGGCTCTGAAAGGACTAAAGAATGTGGCATTTTGAAGTACACTTGATTGCCACTAAAGGGAAACCCATATATTTCACACAAGATTTAAATCACATTGCATTAATTATTCACTTCATTTTGCATAATGTCCCAAATGGTGCCCCTTGCTATTGTTATAAATGACACTTTGCTCTAATTTCTGGGTTTACTTTCTCCTATAGTCATCAAATAAGCCATTTTCAGGCTGTTGTATTGTTTCAGGCATGTGTTGTTTTAAATGGAAAAAAATCATGTCGTGCTGAGTGAAGTCTTGTTTCCTTATATCCTCAAATTCCCTGTGGTGTGTAGCAGACCCTGCAGTTTCTTTCCCTAATCTATGAGTAATACTCATCATGCTCACCTTCACACCAGATGCCAGCTGCTTTTCCAGGCAGACGGAGTTTATGTTGCATTTGAAGACAGCAAAACTCATAACCTTCCCARATAAATCATTCACCATATCTTGCATTGAAAATACAGTTCTGATATGCAGTTTGTAGCAGAAAAAAAAAGGTACTCCAGTGGCCACAGGAATCCCATCGTAAGGAATTCTATGAYACAGAAGACATGTTAGTCTGAGTTAATGTTATGTAGTTACATTACATTACTACATTAAGTAGTTGTATGTTCTGGGTTGTCACATTTGCTCAGTGTGTCATATTTCTTAAAAACGTGAAAAGAAAGTGAGTAATGATTGTGGGTGCCTCAATTTTCAAATGTTTGATTTGCCTATACTTTAAAACAGTTACAAATTTCGAGTGATTGAGTGCTGATTGCTTTCTGAAAAGCAGCCTCGTGTATCTCACGTGCATCATCCAAAACCAATAATACCTTTTGAAACTTTAGACCTGTTTATCTTTCTGTCTTCTAGTTAGTCATTATAAACCAGCATGTCACAWAGTCTGTCCAAAAATGTCAAAACTGGATTTTCCTGACATAAAAGGTAAGCAAAAGAAAATTGTATATGAAGACAACATTTATGTATATATTTTAATACTGTATTTATTAAGAACTTGAAACTCTTTTTCATGTTTTTAGATCATAAAGAAATAAAAATGTCTTCCCGCACAAACCCTCAAACACAAAAGARCACTTCAGCCTCCTTTCTGGGGTTCAGATCACCTTTTGCTTGGCTTTCCTCCTTTAGAAAATCAAGGAAAACGCAGWCTCAGAAGCAACCACGGTGAGCTATAATCAGAACATGTATTATTTCCAGCTTTAAAAAAGTCTATGAACTGTTCTGTGTTTTGCTTAGAAAACTTCATATTATTTTTCCAGTCTCTTGCTTTTCACCTCATTGGGAGGATTGGGATTTTACTTGGTCATGTAATGGGAGATTATTTGTATTTAGTCAGAAAAAAGAGGACCAAGTCACAACCAATAGGTAGAGTCTCTTGGCTAAATCTATTTTGCTCAGGTTTTGCATAAAGGCTTAAAGTATATGAAAGACCATAGACTTAGGAGCAGCTGCATGCTSTTTTAATTCCCTCTTGAGGACACGGTGTAAGGTGCATGGTGTGATCTGGTGCCCTGTGGCTCTGATACAATAGGAAAGCTCAGCTTTCCCAAGTCATGRCAGAGAGTACCAGCCCCAGGCAGCTCTGCTGCGTCAGTTCCCACCATTTCTAGCTTAGAGGCAKCTTAAAGGCAGCCCGGCAGCTTTGGCTCCAGCCAGGCAAACTGGACGGCTCTTGGCGCTTTTGCCTTTTGTGCTTTGTCAGTGCTTCATTTTCAGCAGGATCTGAACCAAAGAAGGTCTCATACACMACTCTGGAGCTGCTGTTTGAAGAGCATCCTTCTCCTTGGCCGTCCCCAGGGTTAAAGCTGCTGTTTAGAGGGAACAGGATGGGGGGAAGCTACAGTCAGGCTAGTTAGGCTCTCTTAACTTTCAGCCTGTATGGCCATATTGTCAGCAGCACGTGAAGGAAATCTCACTGTTYTTGTGTGCATCTTAGGGTAATGCTTGGCACTGGCAATCACAGGTACAGCTGCATTGTGCAGTGTTCTGAAAGCCCAGTATAAAGGTGCAAGGTCTTTGGTACCAGACTTTGATTTTCACTTGGTGAGTCTCAGATTGGTATTCTGTCTGTGCCTGGRGCTCCCTGCTGCCATGATGGTAAGACAAGGAGCAGCTGTAATAAACAAGACAGGGAATGCAAGCCTCTAAAGAAATTATGATTAGTCTGATRTGTAGGTTTTGTAACAGAGCAGCTTGCCATTGTGGAGTGTTTGTATCAAAGCAGGAGATTTAAGGAGAGGTTTGAGTAGAGGCCATGAGGATAGCTTTGTGAATGTTCACTGGCAACAATTCCCTTACATAACAACACAACATAGAAAAAGAAAATGCAAGTGTTAACACTGCTCCATACCTGTCATCTTCTTCCTCCTTCATGTGACCTGGTAATGCCCCTCATCCTGGAACACAGAAACACTGGGCCACAGTCTTCCCTGAAGAATAAAGGGACACTTGTGTAACCGAGAATCAGATTTCAAGGGTGCTTTATCCTGGTGTACAGTGAGGTAGCCAATGCACACATGAAGGCTTTGCTGTAGAATCTCAGCACTGAAATGATTTCTTAATTTAAGAAGGCAAAAAAACCAAACYGTGCCTACTCATTACGTCAGCTTTTTTTCCTGTGTGTTTATCTGGCTTTTCCATGGAAAATCTATCGTATCTCAGGCTCAGATGCCTTTGATTTCGGACCGAGCATAACTTGAAAAATAAACAAGTCAATCCTGACGTGTAACTGAGCTGATTGCTACATTTTCTAGTCACGCCTCTCTGTTGAAAACTTCCCCCACCCTCTTCTAGGTGTTGCCGTGGCATGTGGTTTGCTTTATGCATAGGCAAAGCACTGAAATAATCTGCCTCTCACCAAGTAGAGTTATTTTGGAGAGCTAGTGAARCACTGTAGGACGCAGCACTGTAAATCCTGTAAGTAAGCCTAGCTAGCAGAAGATTTTCAATGGCTAAACATTAATGGCTGGTTAGAGGGTCCTTTCAGTTCTGGAGAGACAGTTTCATCAGCTGCGGTGGTGTTTTACTGTGAGAATAAATTATGGAGGCTGCAAGAAGGAGTGCACTTACATGGAGATACAGAAGCTGCTAATAAAAGGTTTGTAACTGTAGTCTGAAGKCAGTGAAATGTTTGATCACTTTTGGTTCAAAGGTGTTGGTGTTATTGAATTCATTCTTATTATTTTCTAATATATAAGTGTGATTAATCCCGGACAAAAATGCTGTTTAAATGTGTTYTCAGCATATGTCAGTTATGCATTTGATTTTTTAGTTGGCTTCTTATGTAGTACTGATAAGAATAGTATCGAAAAAATGGATTTTAACTACATTAGACAGCTTGGAGGTAGCCAAGGGAAGACAGGTGCCATGCCTCTGTGGAAATACTAACTCACGGAAGATTTTAATTCATGGATTTTTATTATTGTTACCAGTAGTGATAGTTATCTTTTACTTTTAATCTTACATTTGATTCTCATTAAAATGATACATATGTATGYAAATGGAAAAGTATAAAATATAAATTCTTGTTTTCCATACTGAGTAGTATTTTCCAGATGGCGAGTCTTTCTAAACCTAAGCATCWATTTAGCTTCTTTCCTGTTTATGAATAATAGAGAATATTTGCAAGTGTGTGTGCATGCATTGTGTGCAAAATAAGGTAAACACTGCTCAATATCATTAACTAAAAAAAGAAACAGAATTACTGTTTCCTAAAATTGAGCAATATTTCTCTGAAAGTAAGCAAATTTAATTTTGAAATGCTGAAAAACTTTAAACTGTTGGTAGAAAATAATGAAGCAATTTGGGAAGTGGAGAGATTGGCATAGGGAAAAGATTAAAATAATGTGTAAATAATGTCTGTATAAAGTAGCAGGGAGAAAAGTAAAGCAGGATGCAGTGACCAGTTATTTCTGAAAGAACAGTGACAATAAAGACATGGATGAATTTGGAATTTGCCAGAGGTGCAAATGAAAATTTAAATTTTGCCTAGACTAGCAGAAGACATGTATAACTGACATTTCTAACATGTCTACTTCATGTAGGTTCGTTGCAAGGAGCAATTAACACAACATTAAGTGAGGAGAGCTGTAGAGTAGCTTTGMACAGTAAAGCTGAAGAAGAAAGCTTCTAATGAAGCTTTTGTATTTTGTTTATGCATATAACTAAGGTTCCTTGCTAAGCCRCAGGATTTTACTGAACTTAATTTGCAAGAAATCATTGTAAAAACTCTGAAACCTAAGTTTCGTTCTTAATTTGTTTTAGAAGGATTAAAAACTTATTCAACTTTATTTAACTTTAAAGAAGAGCTACATTTCTGAGTTTGGTTCTGTAAACTTCAKTCAACGGGGAAAGGTAACCCACTAATTTAATGGCTGTTTTTATTGAGTGCTACAAGGAAAAATCAGGAATTTCAGATTCAGACTGTCTAGCCAAATCCTAAGCCCACTGAAGTCAACAGTCTTGTTTGGTTTCAGTTGGACCCCATGTCAGAGAGGAATCCTGGTTTTACAGWTCACAATTACAGAAGCAAAAACAAATTGCACCTTTCAACTGTTCTTCCCTGCCTGCAAGCACATTGCAAACAAATGACAAAGCACTTCAGGAGGAAAGGCTGGGCCACAAAGAACTTGCCAACAAGCCGGTTTATACTTGCTGTTGAAGCACAATAAAGTAGTCTGCCTGAGCATAAGGAGCTTTWAAGAGCCTAAGAACAAGGTCATTCAAAAAGACTTTGAGATAAACAGGACTGAGCAGAACCGTGTTTCCCTACTTCATTTTCTCTCAAGAATTAAATTCCTGGGAAAAAACAGTTTCTGAGACAAAGAAGAACTGTCAATAAGCATAGGCTGAACAACATTTCCTTCAGGGCTTTTGAAGGGACTGGGACTGCTTAGTTATAAAATAAGGATCTGCAGACTCGAATAGACTTAGTGAAGTCAAGTCCTGTTCTTGTTTCTTTAGTTTATTTTGTATTTGTCTGCAAGTCACCCCGTTGAACAAAGTACTTTTTATGTTCACRGCTTCTCGGCTTGTTCTAACCACTGCATTACTCACAGACACTCGAGCCAGTTCTCTGCCAAGCCCTTGCAGTCTTAAGTAGCTTAGGAAAGCAGATGAACCTTCTACATGTCTTAAAAACTGATAAATAAAGGCTGTTTCAGGTGAATAGCATTAAGTTCCAAAATTCACACCAAAACCAATCTGCTGTCTTTCCTCCTTTGAAGAGGCAGGGCATAGTTCTGCATCTGAGCAGGGGGAAATGGAAGAGAAAAACAGTTGAATTGCAGATGCAAATCACTCAGAGATTTACAAGTATATAACATAAGCTATGAGTAATACCTACTAAATTGTTGTTATTTGGAAAAGGAATGAATACCATCTTACCAATATGCTGTTGCAGACACTGAGATGTCAGTAGGTTGAGTTCATTTTTGGCTGTGCAGTTATGAGCAAGYTGACAAGGCCAAACTGAATGGTACRTATTCCCAGCATTTTATTTTAGCAGGATTTTTTTGGGTGGGAGGTAAGGATTAATTCTTCATAGAGCAAGTTTTCTTCAGATGCTTCTCAATAATTGTTCAAATGAGAAACTGCTGGATATTTACTACCTGACAAAATTACATCAAGTTCCTTTTCAACACAAACATTTAAATCCTTCTGCCTGCAGATATGACAGTTCKGCTAGCCCAGCCTCAAAAGTGGAAGAAATGGCAACAGTAAGTAGCTTATCAATTTATTGTCTGAAATGTTTAAATACAGATTTTTCAAAAACTAGTTCCCTTGGTTTAGGCTGCTGTTTAAATAGTATTCTGGCAGTTCTTGTTTTAAATGCTGAGTAAAATGTGTTGTGAACTTGTTGCATGCAATAGAATTAACTTTCCTATTAACTATAAAAGTCCGAAACTTCCCTAGCTAGGCCCTGAAATCTGCCAAATTTCAGTTCTCTCATATTACAGAACAATTGCATGGATCCTTTACTTGGTCAAGACTCTCACATACCTTAGCAACTGGAACCAACCTGTGAATAGATCAAAACTCACKCTGAGCAATAATCTAGTGTATTTACTTTGTTTCATTTCATTTGCACAAGGGTGAAAAAGAGTAGCTGGCCTGGGCAAGCAGTAAACTAGAACCTCTTCTGCAACATTTCCATGCACAGTTATCATGTAAATGTAAATCTTGAAGTAGGAGGGATTTGGGTTTTTGGTTTTTTTTTTAATTTTTTTTTTTGGATGGATGTTCCATTCTATAAGCACAAACTCATTTTAAGGATAAAACAAACTGTTTATTTCTGGTGTCATTTAAGTGCATGATGTTGATATAACAGATTTTCTTCCAAGGATTATATTTTCTATTTTAATTACTTTATTACCCTGTATTACTAGCATGTTTTTCCTTGTCTTCAGTTGGGTGGTATAATCACAGAAGGGACTAAGAAGGTACACAGTGTATAATCAAAGGCATCGAGGATGTAAACTGGCCACCTCCCTTCTCTCATATTTCAAAAACAAAGGGATAATCTGTATTAATATATGATTGAGCAAAGATCTTATTGGGGATTCTGCCTGTTATATAAACATATTATATAATGCTATATTATAGCTAGATTAGTAAAATAYTATGAATATTGCAAACAAAATAGTTGGGCGGGATTTTTTTTGAAAAAGAGTGGAAGAGTCTTAGCTAAAATAATTCAGCAGTTAAACAGTTGTCTGCACTTCTGCCATTTGAGACTGTGAGCTGAGAGAAATATGAGTGGGATAGAACCTCTCCAGTTTAACATGTAATCCAAACACAGATGGGGAATAGGATGACATTTTCCCCACTTTTACTACTAAGTACTGTCTTACAATAAGAAAATGGACATTTAAATTATTAAATCTCTGTTGGGAGGTTAGTGTGTGAATTTTAAAGTACACTGSTCAAGGAAGAAATGATTGGTAAAAACTAATTTGAGAGATACCATGCAATAAGGAATACAATGCAATAAGGATGCATTTGGATAAAATAAGTAAACTATGCCTTTATCCAAAAAATGGATACAGTATGAGGACAAGGTAATTCTTCATATTATATGAGTAGAAATCTATAAAATGCATGCAACTTTACAACCCTCAATTGTGTATTTTTATAATACATTATTTAACGTAAATAATGTAATGACTGACAGAACTAGGACTTGTGACACAGTTTGTGATGTGACATGGGAAATGTGATTTGAACCCACATGTAGAGCTCATGTTACCTTACTATTTTTTACAGGCTGAAATATGTAATTCCCCAATGTCAACTGAAACAAGTGCTCATTCTTTTGATACAAACCAAAATGAAACGATGGAGAAAAGTACACTGGAATGGAATGAACAGCTAGAGAAGGAGATTTTCAGTGGTAAGTGCGTGTCCTTTGTTCTCATGGTATTGCTGCCAGAAGCAACTGCGGTTTTGAAAGAATTTTCTGCAAAAGTACATTACTTTCTAGCCGAGTGGCTACTTTTTGTTGCCTTTGTCTGACAGCAGAATGTCTACTCCAACATTGACTTAAGAGTCACTCGTCACTCTTAGAATGTATTTCATCTCATATTGATAGAGTTCAGAAGAATCACATGTAAGTGTGTGCAGTTATCTCTGCTGTTTCTGTCAGCAGCCCATACTGCACCCTTTAGATGCAGACATACAGTTATGTGAGAAGAATTCTATCCCAGTTTTCTGCATGCATAATTTTGATAATGATTAATTACTGGGCCTGGTTTTATAAACTTGTAAAGCCACAAACCACAGAAGCAAAAGGCATTATGGCACTCAGTTAATTTTCTGGGAGCTTTTATAGCACCAGTCAAGAGCTGCACGTTCTTTTTTAGATTGGCTGATGTCCTCCAAATGGAAGACTCAGAAACAACTCATCTTTTTTCTTGTTCTAAGCTGAGTTTYTCAGGAGTCTTCTCTTTTGTGTGCTGAAGAGAAACTTAGAAAAATGGAGAATTTTAGTRCTTTTGGATCCCCTTTTATTCCAACTATACATATTTATCAAAGTTTTCTTAATGATTTTGTACTTTTAGCATAGATCTGTAATGACTGATTCGTAAGTCTTATTTATTTAAGTGGATTAGGAAATTCTGTAACAAAACAGTCATATCCATTAGRTATTATGTGTGGTATTTTCAAAATACCAGAATAATACAATTAGCAAAGGTATAATTGGTTTTGACAATAAAAATAACTTTAATACAGTGCTGTCACTTAGTCTTGTGACTGTATATCTTGGTTGATTGAGCTATATAGTGTTTAATTCCAGTTCATGAGGTTGCCTATATATATAAATATGTATTTGTTGTCAGATTGAATCACAGCTTCCTAACTACTTCTTTACCCTTTTTTTATCCAGAAAATGCCATTTTCAGTGCTCATTTAAAAGTAATAGACTACCATTCAGAAGAGAACTTTYATGAATGAAACAAACAGTGGACATGGCAGATTATTGAATATCCTTGTTGACGGTTTTCAGGATTCTGTTTTCTTACAGTTACATCATAACTGTCCTTTGTGAACACACAGAAAGGTCCATGTTTGCCTAGTGAATTATTTTCAGGGATTTTTTTGCTTACAAACGGTATTTGGAAGGTTTATGCATGCATATACACATACACACACACACACACACACACACACACACACACACACACAGCACACACACATATATGCAGTGTGTGAGTGAGAACTCAGACTTCAAATTGTTTTGTTCTTTTACATAGCATAAAGACTAACATTTGCATAAAGAGCAGTCATGGAGGAGAGCATTTTTTTTCTTGTAGTCATAATGGGTGAYTGCTGAAACATCCTGTGGAGGAAGAATGTGTGGTTTGGGAAAGGTTTTGAATGCTGAGAAGCTGACTCCTTTTAAAGCCGGTTCTGATTATTAATATAGTACATGAAACTTCTTAACATAAACAGTCAGAAGATCATTAAAGAAAACAAAACTAAGTATCTTTTTTTTTTTTTTTTTTCTGTGCAGTTCTAAGTGATCTGGATGACCAGCTGGCCCAGGAACAAGCCCAAGATCCTTTGGACTGGACAGTTTCTACAAGTAGTACAACATCAAATGTCCAAAGCAGTAGTGCATTCCCTACTTCAAAGAGGCAGTCTGCTAGTAGGGGGCAGCAGAGAAATGACTGGATTGACAGGCCTAGCACATTTTTCCAAGATGGGCTGAGAACGCTAAGGGCCAAAGATGAACACAAGATTTTCATCAGACCAAGGAAGTTACACAGTGCATATATAAACTGGCAGACAGCCTTTCAAGATGATTGCAATTACGGTGATGCAGTCGATGGAAATCCTCACTTGCGCCGTCGGAGGGTCTCTTCCGTTTCTTTTGGACGTTCTTCAGAAGGGAGCTTATATCCCCCTTCCGTAACACAGAACAGCGGGTTTAGGCACAAGAGTTGTATGAACAGGGATACAGCCGGCAGAAGTTACTCTGTATGTTCCCTTGGGAGATGTCCATCATCAGTATCTTCTGGTCACCTGTCAGCATCTCGTTCACAGCATCCATTGGCAAGGGAGAGCAAGAATGGTTTTGTACCAAGGTTTGGTCGACAGAACCCAAAGAGAATTCCTCTATCTTCCATTGTATGGAACAATACACCGGACTCTTCTGAACAAACAGAGAAAATGTTTAGAACTCAATCACTGATGGAGTTTCATGCTACAGACCATGGTAGATATCCCAGCTCTTTACAAGAAACCAAGAAATACCCAAGTTACCACTCAAAACACCATTACAGAAGATCTATTTCAAGCAGTAATTGCTTTAGTAGAGTTAGTTGCACTGACAAATCTAATTCTCTGTTGCCCTTTGATAACTGGGAAAACTATCCTTTATACAAATCAGAAAATAACCTTTCAAGATCCTACTATAGAGATACCTCTTCTCATGGCAAATTGTATGCAAACAAAAAAAATTCCTCTTATGGCAGAAAAGACAGCTATGCTTCTTGGGCTGATATTCCTCCGTGTTACAGTGATGAAGTGTTTATTTCCCCTGATGCCAGCTTTGAAGAATTTATGGCTAATTTAAATGACCAGCAGTGGGCACATACAAAGAATGTGAAGTTTGGTTCACAGCGCCTGCAGAATGATTTTCACGCGTTCTCTCCAGAAAATACGAGTATCAAAAGGATTACAAGAAGTGCAAACAGAACTTTTTCAGAATTCACTGAGGGCTCTCAACCTTGGGTTAGTTGTAACTCTTCAGTTTCTTCATCTCGTATCAGAACTGATGAATCAGTCTTTCCTAATTCAATGGACCTAACAAAGCCTAAAGGACTGAACAGGAATTCAGTTGTCATTACCCAAAGAAGTACTAAGGCAGACTTTACACACCTGGAAAAGGCTGAAGCTATGAAACAGCCAGATGAAGACATGCTGTTAGAGTCAGCTCCTCAACAAGCAGATAAAAGCTACATCAACGCCCGGAGTTTTTCCTCTAACAGCCCTGCTTCTGCTGTGTGGCAAAGAGATGTGTCTCTCTTTAACACAGTGGCATCAAAGAGACAAACCCAAGCCACTGCCAGAGGACGTAACACAAAAATTTATACATCAAATGGTGATAAAAGAAATGCAGAAATGAAGGAAAATGATTGCCCACCCAACAGTGTGTTCAGTCAGCCTCCCGGTGTTTTGCCAGCTGATGAGAGCAGGAAGGAACCTTTTCTTCCAAATCAGAAAGAATGGGAATATARTCTGCATTATGCAGCACAAAGAGAGAGCTTTGCAGAAGTCCTTAACCAAGCTACTCCAAAGAGACAGTCCTGTCCTCCTGAGTGTTCATCTAACTTCTCACAAAGCTCTCCACAAGCACTTTCTCATAAAGACAATTCTAAATGCTTAGGAGTACTRACTAGCTCTTCAGTAAATTGCRCAGTTACTGAAGCTCAAGCAGAAGSGGGGAAAACAGCTCAAATGAGCAGAACAGGTGTTAGCAAAGAGATTTCACAGAAAMCACTGCAAAATGCAAGCACTTTAGTTACTAAGGACTGTAATGAGCAATTCATTGCTAGTTCTCTGCAAAATGAAAATTCTGRAAATATTTCTATGCATAGCTTTGATGGAGACCCCAATACCTCTGAGAATAATTTAAGTTATTTTTGCCTTGAAAAAGGAATGGGAAAAATGATGAGTACTTCACCTTATATGAGAAGGTTTCACAAGCAAGACAGTTCACCAAGACATATGAGTAGCTGCAGTATTACTGGCTCCCCRGGCAGAAACAGCTCCAAATCTTCTGACCCCCATGTTATTTATTACACTTTGCCTAGAAAATCAGCTAGCATTGCTGGTAGTATTATGTCTGATACGCCCATCTCTTTACCTAGAGAAACTCAACATAGAGCTGACACCTTTTATTCTAATCAAAGAGATGTGTCTTGTTTAGACTCAAAATGTTCCTTTTCAACATCAGCATCATTAAATGCTGCTACAGGTAACAAAGATTATGCCAGTCCTTTAAACAAAAGTGTCAATGATTCAGTAAGTAGTAGTACATCAGTTGATCTGMCAGACAGATGTAAAAAACTAACCAGAAGGGAATCCTCTGTGTTTTCAGATTATAAGGAGGGGGGAAATTTTTTGCAGAAATATAAAACCACAAGCACATTTACAGTTTGTGTTGATGAAGATCATGTCAAGTATCATGAGTTAGTTTCCATTTATTACACGCTACCRCGGAGGCATTCAAAAACATTTTGTAGCCTCTTTAGAGATAATCCAGAGGATGCAGATTTACCTTGTCCCGAAGAAAATGCTCAGTCACCAAGGATACAGAACAAGAAAAATGATGATCCTGTGAGTTTAGCAAATAGTTTTTTCCCTACTACTTCCAAAAAAAAGGTGCCTTCATATTCTTCTGACCAAGTATCTTCAGCTCTGGTCATACCTCAGAACTTAAGAACTGCTGTTGATACTCAAGAAGAGAATTGTCACTTACCCCCTAGCTTGGAGAAGTCAGTGAGTGTGGCACCTAACAAGGAAGACAATTTAGCATCTCTTTCATTAGCAGAAAATGTGCTTTCTGATGTGGTGACAAAAGAAACTTCTTTTGGTGGTGCACAATCCACTGGAGCAGAGGCTAAGTCAGGTAAGGCCACTTCTGATGCTTCAAGCAGCCAAAAGACATACATACATCTAAAAGAAAAGAAGGAAATTTTTCAAAGAGCCACACCACTAGTGTCCATTTTATCAACCCCTCCCAAGCCAGGTAGGCACTTAGAGAATCCTTTATATTCTACTTCAACAAATAAAAATATTATACAGAAGGGAAGCTCAGAAAGTAGCTCTCAGCCCCCAAAGGTGAACAACAAGAAAAATCTGAACAGTTTACTCCTCTGCTCAGGAGAGAAGAGTTCCCTTGGAAGGAATGGTAACACTGAGCATGCTGATGTGCCACTTAGTCATGTGAAGGACATGCACAGGGATAGTACCCAAGTCAAACAGAGAGCAAATTTCCTACACCAAACCACCCCTCTGTGTAATAATAAATTTAGTGGACTGCAATTAAGRGCTGACAGTACAAGAAAAAAAGAAAATGTTTTAAACTTTTGTAGCAAAGTGCTTCCAGAGTCTCAGAGCAAAGCATCTGAGGTAAGCAAAGCTTCCATTGCTGATCCATTACTCCAGGTAGACAAAGTGGCTAGCACAGACACAAATGTAGAAAAGAATTCAAAAATTAAAAAAGAGCAAAACGCACAGAGTACTCCTATAGGTAAACTTTACAGCATTTTTCGGGAATCAGAGAGGCRCAGTGAAGGCAACCTGAACACTAAAGTCTCCAGGGTTACACAAGATGAGAAGATAACACAGAGTGCAGAAGATGAGAACAAGCTTCTCTCTGACTGCACAAGAGACAAAGTCAAAGATATAGAAAAAAGGAAAAACAGACCTTCRATTAAAAATAAACTGGCAGCTGTTTACAAAACAAGTCGCAAATTTTCTAGTAAAAATTTACCCCCCAAACCACACATAAGTAACATTTTTTCACAGAATGATGGAAGTGCCACTTTAGAGGACAATGTGTCCCTTGACTCGTTGATTTCAGTGGATTCTCACCAGCCATTCCTGCAGCWGGACAATGAAAATCAGAATCACAATCTGAACTCTGATCAGAATACGCCAAGACCAAGAGCAGCTGAGAATAAGAAAACTGAAAATCAGAATGATCCTTCTTTGCTTGTTAACACCAAAAGGAGGCCTTTTACAAGCTCATACACCCAGAAGGAAGCCATCAGGCCTCAAAAAACTGCAGTGAAAGTGGAAAATAAGCCAAGACTCACATCCCTATTTCCAGATAAAGCAGTAACCACAAGAAGTAAGAATTCCACAACCTTTGATCTTGGGTTAGAAAGCAAAAACCAGCCCATTGCTCCCAGTGCTACTACCTCATACCCACTGGATGAAGAGAAAGGAAGAGCTAGCAGTTATGCCTGCACTCCTCTCTCGCCACTTTTAACTGACAAAAACTCAAACACCTACATAAACAGCTGCTTGCAGGCAGACACATGTCCAGAGCAAAACTCACCTTCCCAGACAGTGCTTGGTCAGCATCAAAATACCTCTCAGACTCCTGGCTTAGAAAATGCTAACCTCAATGGCTATCAGTTGTGCAAGAGCCATACGAAGAGTCAGCGTGAGCGTCACTTCTCGGAGGGCATTTGTGCCCGAGACTCCCTTGAGACCTCTGCCTCAGGAAGCAATRTTCTACCCAAGGGTGGCATACATGGGAAGAGATTTAAATCTTACTCAGAGCTGCTRTCTTGTGACGAGAATGAAAATTGGGCATGCGACGATGAGAAGTGTCAAAGCACTAGGAATTTAATATATCCATCTGAGGAATTTGGTATATTTGGCAAAGAGCAACAGCTGGCTTTCCTGGAAAATATCAAGAGGTCACTCACAGAAGGTCGATTATGGAGACCGTGTCTTCTTAATAATCCTGGTGCTTTCAGAGATACAGAGAACTCTCCAACAAACAGGGCTGAGCTTCTGAGCTCAAGTTCTGCTGGGAACGAAATGTCATCAGCTGCTTCATCCCCCCAAGAGCTGACTGGTATCTACGGGGAAGACCCAGCCGCCTATTCGGACTCAGACAGTGATACCACCACCGATGATGAGTATTACCTAGATGAGATAGATAAAGAATCAGAGCTATGAAAGGACTGTGGCCTAAGAGGGCACAATAGTGCGGTAGCTTCTGGGCAGGCAAAAACATGTCAAATACGTTGAGCCCGTTCTTGTGCTGCTGTGAATTGGTACAACTTCCTTAGTTTCAAAGGAGTTAGTATGTTATATTAGCTGAGCATTTGACTTTTGTATTAAATGTGTGGCTTCACCATTCCTGTTTCTCTTAGCAGGGAAAAACAATGTTAAAAAATCCCTACCCCAAATAATAGAAAGTTAACAGCAGTGGAGGTTTGGGCAGTCTAAGTCCAGGAATGGCTTTCCTCTGAGTCAGCAAGCAGTAGTTAGGCTCCTGCCAGCTACGTAGTGCTGGAATGGATAAAATCTAGCTTGAGCTGCTTTTTCTTACAAAACTTAACAGAAAACCAAGAAGTTACCTTGCTGATAATTTGCTGTTTCTCTGATCTGCCTCATTATCAGGCATGATAATGCTAAACCATCCCACTRAACAAATATCCTCACAAAATGAAAGCTCTTAAATTTTTACAGCGCATTCTGTCYGAATGTTCTTTTTCTGCATTCCTGGGAAGCGAAGCAGCAATGTCCCTGGTGGTGTTTGTTCTGCTGTGCTGCTGAGGCAGATTCCACACCAGGACTTTTCAGCATTGCAAGAGCGGTGAGCAATGTGAGTTGCAGGAGTGTTTCTAGAGCAGGAGAAAAAGCTCAACACAGGGTACAGCACTGAAAATCTGACCAAAAGAAAGACAGCTGAGCATGGAAATCTGTTTTCCAGACATGGAAGATTCATAACTGTGCACAACTTTGGTTGCAGTTGACATGATTGGCCAGATTTCTGGTTTAGATTTAGAAACAGATTAATTTGTATTGATAATCCGACACTTTTAATAAKGCAAAATATGAAAATATTTACCTTTTTTGGTATTTTTTGCCTGTTTCTGCTGTGACCACAGTACTTTTTGTCCTCCTAACTGAATGGCTGTAAATGTGTTTCAGTGTCTCTTGTTCAGCCACACTAATGATGTACTAGTATTACTCAGTAGCCAAAACTTGTCCCTGGCCATTAAATTTCTAACTAAGCTTTGTTCTCTTTTATGAAAAATCAGAAGTGGCTCACTGAGCCAGAAGATACTATTTTAAAATAATTATACATTTTCTTCTATTTTATTCCTAATTTCATATATGGTCTGAAATGATGGTCSATATTTTTAATATGTTTTTTAATCCAATAAAATTTCTGTAGGACATAGTTATATTTTTCTAACTGGAAGGACAGTATACCAGTATTTTAAAATAATATATTTTACACAAAAGAAKCAGTGCTTGTATCACTGACTACTCCACAAGAAACTAAAAGATGAAAATATTACAGTAGGTAAGAGGTATCCTTATTTTTTCATACTGTAAACTTCGTTAAAGAAGTGGGTCTGTAGTTCAAATCTGTACTGATATATAAATATTATTACTTTATGCTGGGGTAATTTGTCTTTTGTTGTACATAGAAGGACTAACATAAACTGTGTATTTATAGCCAGAACTGATCTCTAAAACATGCCTGTTTCACAAGGATATAAGAATATACTGACACAGGCAATACTGGAAGGAAATGACTACTGTATAATTGCRGTCTTGTAAAGTGTGATATTCTAAGAAGAAATTATGTTTTTGTGTACAGGATTCTGTTGTGTAAGACAATAAAACCAGCTGAGTATCTGTGCAGAATTCCTGTTGTACATTTCTGCGAAACACATTAATACAAAATTTGGAGTACCAGCCTACATAAGGTAAAGAATAATAAATGTTTGCAAAGGAAGTAAATGGTGATACAATTTTTCTTGACTAGAGGTGGATGTTTTGGAACATTTTTATTTGTAAATATTTTTTACCCATTCAACCGTAGTTAGATTAACTTCTCACCTTGCTTGCACAAGCATTTTTCATTTATGCTGTGCATGACAGGAAGTCAGGTGGCTTGATTTAATGTAAGCAAATAAAAACTTTCTGATTGTAAATCAGTTGTGGAAGACTGCAGCTTGTTGAGAATCTGCAAACTAGAATTTACACTGAATAACAGTATTCTAACAGTTAATTGAAATACTCTTGTTATACTCCCTATGAAAACATAGGGAGAAATACCTTTTGGATAGTAATCAGTTCCATTCTGTTTAGCAGAGCCAAATTTTGACAATTCCACTGCTCCAAGATTTTCTTTGGTAAAAATATATTCCATAGATATTGATAACTTATAGGGTTTTCATATTTAAAACAATTTGTTTTAAATAAACTCTGCATTTACATGAAAAAAATGTATTGGCACTTCATTAGTTTTTCACTTGCTGTGAATGCAATACATTATTTAAAAAAATAAAAATCCACCATCTTAGTCTGGTTGCCAACATCAGCAGGGTGCAGATGGCCAACAAAGCCATGGACTGAGCAGGGCAGCCAGCCTTGGTTCATCTCTCAGTGGTAGCCAGCAGTCACATCAGCTGCTGGGTTCAGGACTGCCTCCTGCACAGGAAGGACATGTTGCCTTCTCCTGTCCCGCCAGCTGATGAGTCTCCAGCACACAAACAGTTTTGCATCAGTGGTAGAAACTTTACAGTAGACAAATATTAAGCCCTTAGAGAGCCATATGCCTACAACTTGCCTTGAGGTGCTGGTAGTCCAGGTAGGGGCCAAGGGTAGTGTTTGATGAGTRCTTTTACAAGGTGATGAGCTCCACGTGAAAACCCTTTCAGCTGTMATTAGGCCTGAGTGGAACCTGGCTGCCACGTGTGTGAGGGTGTGCGAGACTCATCAAGCAAGACTTTCAGCCTTAATTACTACAGCCAGTATCTGCGGTACCTAAGCTGAGTGACAGTCCCTCAGCCTGGCTTTAGAAGGAAACATGGTTTATGAAACAAGGTGGTTTTTCTGTCTAGACTTCTGTCTGACCAGTAGGTCATGCACATACCCAGATGATCTTTGAGCATTCTACTATCTTGATGACATTTGAAAGAAGGGACAGAAGTCCCATGGTTTCATCAAAGGATAACTCTGGGTGAGTGTGACCTCAGGAGGTCTCTGGTCCAGCCTCCTGCTCACAGCAGATTGGCTTCAAGGTCAGGGCTGGCTGCTCAAGGCTTCAATCCACCTAACACTWGAAAATCTCTAAGGATAGAAACTGGATAGCTCTCTGGTCAACCTGTGCTTCAGTCTTTAATATGGACGTGTCACAGGGTGACCATCTCTTCTTTCAACTCATGCCAGTTGTCTTTCATCCTTCTGCCCTGCACCATCTCATGATCTTCCTGGGGGCTTCTGTAAGGTCCACCCCCTCATTGAAGGYATCTCTTAACAGGCTTAACAAGTCCAGCTGCCCCAGCTTCTCCTCACAGGGCCGGTGCTCCACCTGCCATTTCAGTGTCTTCCCCTGCATTTGATCCAGTTATTGATGTCTTGTACTGGTGAGCACAAAGCTGGATGCAGGATCTAGATGTGGTCTAACAAGTACTGAGTAGAGGTGGATAATGACTGCCCTCAGCCTCTGGTTCTGCCCCTGTTCATACAGCCCAGGCTGCTGGTGGCCACGTTACTGCCAGGGCTCATGGATGGCCCATGTCCCTCTCACTGCCCACCAGGACCCCCTGGGCCATTCTCTCAGAGTGCTCCCAGCAGCTGGTCCCATTCCATTCTAGGACAGGGGTGGCTCCTTCCCAGGGACGGGGCCCAAGTGCACCATCAGGCCCTGATGCCCCCACCTCCTCAGGGCTCTCCCTGGCTCTCCCTGCCCATGGCTCAGGACACCATTTCAGCCCAGCTTGGAGCCATCATGTCGCAGAAGAGATGGACAACACAACACAAATAACGAGCAAAAGACACAGACACACAGACAGACACAGACATACCACTTTATTGTGGGGCTGAGCCCCTTTTATCTATTTAGCAACAGGTGTATACTAAGTCTTCYGCATMAATGGCAACTATTTATTSGCTAATTAGCAGCCCCTTCTCTACTCATCAGCATATGATTGGTGTGTTGCAGAAGCTGCAGTGTCGTTAATCCTCGAAATTTTGCTCTGTCTTTGGCATCTGCCCTATCTAACTTCACTCTTCAACATTCCATTTTCCTTTTCCAACAGTCAAGGCCACTCAGTCACGTTCCTTTGGTAACATCCTCCTCTGCCTTGTCCTCCTCCATCCAGACTTTCAGACTCCCTTTTGTTTTTCCAGATCTCRGGGGTACACTATTATGGTTGAATTTCACATTCAGAACCTGCAAGGCTGCAATGCCGGCTTTCAGCCTCCACACCATCAGACCATACCCCGCTGATGCTGTAGGTCACAGTCTCCACCTCTCCACTGCCCTTTCTGGCCAGCCTGGGCCCTGCTGAGTCTGGCTCTATCTGCAGGCTGCCATCCCCAGGACCAGGCAGCTATCCCAGAGCAGTGTCTGACCCTGGCTCCCCTCATGGGGACTGATCCTGATCTTCAGATTGATGTCCCCACCTGACCTCAGCCCTGCCCTGTACCCTGCAACACTATACAAGTTTTCTCTCACCTGCTGGGAGTATCACACGTGGAATGTTGGTGGAGATCTGTGGCTATCTGAGGTGAGGGAATTGAGAAGACTCAAGACAAAAGCAAGGAGGAAAACAGACTTGATAATTCCTCTTTCAAAGAACCTGTTTTTCACGGTCTGTATGCACAGAGACTTGAAGTTCATGTTATTCAAAACCAGGTGGAATTCATTTGTGCTCTCATTGCTTTGCATGTGAAAGTCCAGACTAGCCCGGAAGCTTGATTTAATTCTCCGATAGCCTTGTAAACCCTCCCATCTCCTGATACCCTGAAATACTTCCTAGTAGCAGCAAATCATAAAAACGACAAAACAACCTTAGGAAACAAATCGTTGGTGTTTTACCCTCTTTACTTGTACTCCAACATTTTAAATCCATGAAATTACTTTTTGTAATTGTTACATTTTCTAGAGGATAATACTGTGATCCCTTTTTCCCCATCCAAAGCATCACAGCCCTGAGGAAGGCTACCTGCAGCATCTCACCCACAGGGCTCAGGAGCACCTGGGCATGGCTGCGTGCCTGAACGTCCTCTCCGGGACAGGGAGCAGTGTTTCWGTGTGTCCTAACGGGGTTCCTGCTCTGTCCTTCGCTTTAAATACAGTTGCTATGGGAAATCCTAGAAACAGAGAGGAATTTTAAATTATTTTAGGGTTTGGATTTTTTCCTTTTACAGCAATCTCTGATCTTCAGCTGACACAAGGCAGTAACAATAACCTATAGAATAGCGGATTGTTTTCCTCTTTAAATTCCAGGCCAGCTGCTCAGTTGCCGTCTGAGTTGTATCCTAAACCACAGGTAACATTATTCTGGGGGTGGGGGGAGGGCGACACAGCCCCCGATCATCTGTTCTGTAGCGCGTCCCGCAAAGCGCCCATCCATAGTCAGGGAAGAAAAACCTCTCGGGACAGGCAAGCGCAGACCAGCGGATCCGAGCCCGCTCYTCGCTCTCACCGCTGCTTTGCTGTATTTTCCGCGGTTCTCGGGCAGAGCACGGCTTCGAACCGCTCCCGAGCCTGAGCCCCGCGGGCAGGGCACGGTCCTGGCGCACACGGTCTGGGCTGGGGCAGCCTGTCACCCCGCCACATCCTGGGGACATCGCGGCACGGCCCGGAGGAGGAGGAAAGGCAGCGCCGGRTTCAGGCGCCGGAGAACAGCCCGTTCCTCCCCGCGCCTCCCTCCGGCTCTGCCCGGCCCCAGCCCCAGCCCCGKCCCCGTCGGGCCGCCCCGCGGGGCGGGGAGCGGGCGGGGAGCGCAGGGCCGGAGGAGGCCCGGGCCCCATCCGAGCGGGCACGGCGGAGCTCGGTGGGGGCCGGAGGGGCGATGGGGGGCCGCGGGCTGCCGCTGCTGCTGGTGTTTTTCCTGGGCGCCGCGGGGCCGCTGCTGCTGYCGGCGGAGCCGGAGGAGCCCGTGAGCGCCGAGCGGAGCCTGGCGTGGGGCCCCGGGCTGGACGCGGGGGTCACCCTGCCCGTGCGGTATTTCTACATCCAGGCGGTCAGCGCKGCCGGACGCAACTTCTCCCGCTCCCCTCCAGGTACCGTTCGTGTGCTCGGGCACGGGCGTGGGGTGGAAACCTTGCCCCGGGCTGCGATTTTACCGCAGGAGGTGACCCGAGCTGCACACCCTTCCCCTCTTCCCCTCCTCCTTGCTTCCTTCCTTCCTTCCTTTCCCCGTTTCGTGCAGTCGCTGTGCCATCGCTGTTCCCGGGGTGCCCCCGCGCCTGGTCCCGCACGGGCCGGGACACGCAAGGTCCGATGGCGAGCGAAGCACATGGTCAGAGCYTCCTTTCTTCTGGTCCTGCCCAGTGCCCCTTCTCTCACCAGCAGCCTGCTACAAACAGTGTGGAATTTACAGCAAAGAACCAGCAAGCTCGAAATGTACCAGTGCTTCTGGAGCTAGTGGACTTAAAATCCCAGTACACCGCTGGAAAGTGGTAACGCAATCGTTTCTAATGCCGCACACACTAGTTACTTAAAACTTCTGTCTCGGTCAGCAGAGCCCTCTGGGTTCTGTTATCATACTGCTGCTCCGTTAAGGAGTAATTTTCATCTGTTGTTTACTCAGCACAAGCACAAACCATCCCATGACACTTCTCCTGAGGGTGGGAACTGGGTTTGTTCTCGCAGGCCAATGATTTGATGCCAGTCAGTTGTTTGCTGCTGCAAGTTAACTCCGCACACTCTGTATTAATAGTTTAAATGTGGAATCAAAATTACTTTTGTGTCACACATTCCATAATCAAGATAACTCTGAGACAGCCCCAGAGGAAATCATCTGTTGCTAATTTATRTAGGGTAGAAGCTGCTTTGCTGTCTGTGTATTATTTACTGTTCACAGCGATGACACTGAGAGGGCAGATACCAAGTATGCACGGCYTCTTCATGTCTTGTTAGAAAGCTGCTGCTTGCAGAATCAAAGAGTAGTTATATATTATCCAGGGTATGTCTTCAGTCTGTCAGAACCACTGCTGCTGTTGCAGCTTGGTGCTGGATTGGATGTCAGCTGGATGCAGTTTTGTAATTGCAGTTAAGAATGCAACTGCACCCTCACTGCCAGCAAAGTGGAGGCTGGTATCAGCCACACAGGTAGAGCCTTGGGTTCAAACAACAGGTTGCTAAAGGTGAAAAGGTGTGAAGTTCAGTTGGGTTCTCGTGCTAGTTTAAATCCTGCAAGACAAACTGGTAGGATATGGGTACTGAGAACCTAGTTTTGATCTCAGTGAGTTCATGTGTGTTCATATTTATGTTAATAAATTCAGTGTCCCAGGAAAATTTCCAGGTCCCATTGCCATCTGGCATGGAGTGATCTCCATTCATCCCATGACCTGCTATGGCCTCCAGTCAGAGTATGCATACTTTTGACAGGGAAGAGCTATTGGCTCAACCTGTGCTGACTGCTGTCCCATGCCAAGAATTGTTTAGGAGGGTGCAAAGGCTCCTTTTAAAAATTAGCAGTAGAGTTGATCATATTCCAGTGCATGAGCACTGTTTAATGAATTCGTAGAAACCCTGGCTATAAACTTCTGTTCTTGAATGATTTTAAATGTTCAAATTTTATCATTTAGAATTAAAATTAACAATATTTATTCAGGCAYTGCTTTCCAATATAAACTAAATATGTCTCAAAAGATCCCTAATGAGATAGCAAAAAATCCACATATTCACCTCCATTGCAAAACAGGAATGCTGTGATCATAGCAGAAGAGCTACAGTTAAGGCTTCACGTTTGTAAAATTTGTCCAAATCTATTAAATGGTGTTTTGTGTGCATTACAATTTCAGTCAAATCAGTCACTACTTACTGGGATCCATTATGAAACTTGTATGGCATCATTAGTAGATTTAAAATGCAGATTTGTTTTCTGAATGTCCAGTCTGTTCACCAGATTTGCTATGCACCATTGGACATCACACTGTAATGTCAGCCCAGAGGCTGTAACTCTTTGACCTGCCTTTGTAAGAAGATGTCAAATGATGCAGAATTCATTCTTTCCCCAGAAAAATTATTTCAAAGATTAAAAAAATCCCTGCTGAAAATACAGAACTTTCTATTAGTGTAAATGCATTTTTTTTCTTTGGATACTTGGATACACCTTATCCTTGTCTGGAAGGTTTTCCCCTGGGTTTAACAACTGCCAACTGTCTTTATATGCAWGGTGATAAAATCTGCTGTTACATGTTGCTCACATGATCTGCATACTCTGCTAACAAATATTTTTCAAGGCCTCTCAGGTATTCTTGCAGGTTTCACAGAATGCTTTCAAAGAGCAGGGCMTGCTTCCTCCAGTTCTTGTTCCAGTGCTGCTAAGCAGAATTCTGCATCTTGGTTCACTCTCCTTCATAGCTGCAGGACCTCCCTTTGAGTCTTTGGTTGTCTGTGATCCCTGGGCTTTTGTGATGGTCACACACAAGACCTGTATTTGTTTGTTCCTGGATATAAGYTCTTGCATCCTCCTCTCTTAAAGGATATGCTGATAATCCAAATGCCTCTTCAGTGACTCCATTGCTTTTGAAATTTCCATCTGCAAAATTAACCAGCAATGATTTTTGTAATACAGTTGAAGAAAATCTTCTTTTCAGATCTTTCAGTTTCTCTTCAGCATATGTGTCAGAAATAGGGTGACTAGGTTTTTTGTTCTTCTCTAGAAACTGGCCTAAATCAATATCTTGTTAACTTTTCCCTCTTTCCCTGCATTTCTTCCCTGCACTTGTTCCTCCATGCATGGAGTCCCTCTTTTGCAAGCTGCACACRAGGAAAAGAAATGCATAAAGCAAATGTCATTATCTGGATTTCTCAAAGTATCCCATTTTGACCGTGTCCATATTTTAGTCTCTTTTCAGTACTGAGAAATTATTTTTTACTTAAAATTCTGTCCCAGTTGTGTTTATGYGTTTTCAGGGTAACAGATAAATACGAGTGGTGCTGATTGAACAGGGACATATTTTTCTTTTATAATTCCTTTAGACTGAGAGAAACAAAAAACATGAGTGAAAGTGCAATGGTAACTTCTTCCAATAAAAAAAAAAATTAAAATCAGCAAAAAGTTGTTACAATTAAATACTGTGGTAGAACTTAAGAGGCCCTGGCCCCATTACAGAATGAATGTTGTAAATCATAAACAAAATCTTTTTGCCTCCAGTGAATTACTTGTACTTACATGAAATAACTCAGTCTCCTTTTTCTTCCCCTTCCCTTTCAGCGGAGTTTTTCCCTCAAAGGGCTTTGTTATGGGTGATTTCCCTTATCAGATTGTTCCTGCATCTGAAGTATCACCAACTAAAATTAATACATCCTTTGGGTAGATCCAAGGCTGCTCATGTCCAGAGCAGGACTTACACCAGCAGGGAAAGAGACACACATAGTTATTTCCTGTAGATAAGGACAAGGATATGAAATTCAGTAGTATTTGACTTGTGATTTCTCAATATTCACTCATTTTTATGACAACTGAAAACTTACTTTTTCCCACTCCAGTGGGAAATCTCTGTACTCCATGAAAATGCTGTTTAATAAAATGGGTATAAAGGGACAAAGACATGATCCCAACAGAAAACTTTTTCTCTCTGATCTTCATGACATGCTCTGGGTTTGAATACTTCTTCATCCAAATAATACTAGATGAGAGTCATAGGGAGAGGGTACTTGGTTAAAGTCAGCTACTTTGAAGCAAGTTAAGAAGGGTGATTGCGACTGACAGTGACATTTCGAGGCAGAGATGTTCATTCATTAARGAGAGTCATTTAATCTGAGTACTCTTGCACAGTAATTGACTTTAATCCAATTTCAAGATCCAGTGATCTGAGGAAGATGTGACTGATGATTAAGACTGGTACCTTCCACATAAGTGCATTTATCTGTGGATGCAAAGTATAGAATTAACTGTAACATCTCAATCATTTAGTGCTGTTGGACATTCAAATTTTAGTCACATCTTGGTTTTATCTGAATTTTTTCAGTTTCATTTATTTTTATATACTACTTGGTGGTAACATTCACTGTATTTGTATACATTTCACAGTATTTAGACTGTTACACTTTGTGAATAATTTGGCCCCCCCTTTCTTTTTACAAATAAAATTGACAATGACCACTYGTGATAGAATTAAAGAAGATAACAGATTTATGTTTATGCATACCCATATTCTCCATAAATTATTCCATATCCAGTTAAAAAATCTTAGTGCATTAATGATGAAATTATGGTGGTCTTTAAGCACAGGTTAGGCAGATGTCCAGGGCACAYCTCTACTCTCATTTTCTTATCCCTGCTTTTCAGTAGCTGGGACTTTAAATGTGCCAGACAGTCAGCAGCGCAAAACTGAACAATTTCTGTGTGACTCCTGCATGCTGCAACTGCCTTTCCACAAGCTGGCAAGTATTCTTTCCTCCTGTTACTTTAACTTGGTTTGCTATCTGTCTTACTCTAGAGGAAATTGCTGTTCTGCAGAGCACTAACTTGAAAACTTAGTATTAAACCTAATCTTAGCTTCAAAGGAATGTTAGGCTTTCCTTCTATCCTTAGTCAGATATTGAACATTTTATCTCCACCTGCAGGTTTTCCATTTAGAGGTATGTGATGACCAAGAAAATTTGGTAGGATGATATTTGACTACTGAAAATTTGTTTTACCAGCTTGGTATAATTAAAAAATTGTAGTGAAAAAGTAAATTAAATTCCATTATCTTAACCCAGTAGAGTTTAGTCTTATTTACTAGATGTGATTCTAATAGCTTAGAATGCTTTTATCTGTTTTTATTTTCCTCTTCCCAGGGAGAACACAATTTAAAGTGATAATTAAAGCACTTTCTCCAAAAGAAGCCACCAGAATTTACACCCCTCGGCCTTTGGATAGAAATGATGGTACATTTCTCATGAGGTATCGGATGTATGGAAGTGTCACAAAAGGCTTAAAAATCGAGATACTCTATGGTGATCAGCATGTGGCTCAATCACCTTACATTTTGAAAGGTAAGGTKATTTTTTGATATAATGTGTCAAAGTTCTGAATTAGGCTGTGTTTGACACTGCAGTACCTGGGCTGTGGACAGCTCAAACAGTTCTGTGTGCTTGGCAGGTTCACAGCAATGGAGCTTCATTTAGCAGAATAGTTTCACCCTGATAACACAAAGTCTAGGATTTATGAAAAGAGAAGAATGCTGCTGTTTCCTCAGTTACACTGCTAAATCCCAGAAATTATAGGAAGGACGATTTCCCAGGAAAACTTTAGAAACATGGAAGTGAAAATGTCAAGCCAGTGTAATGTATAAATTATGACAACTGTAGAATCACAGATGTAGACTCTGGGTGCTTTGTTTCCACAGACCCAGTTTATCATGAATATTGTGACTGTCCTGAAGAAGACCCTGAGGCCTGGCAGGACGTTATGTCCTGCCCATCCCAAGAACCTCAGATTACAGAGGACTTCAYTTCATTTCCCACCATTGACCTGCAGCGAATGCTTAAGGAAATCYCAGCAAAGTTTAGCCAGACAAGAGGTGCTATTGTCCATTACACTATTCTCAATAATCGCATCTACCGCCGCTCCTTAGGGAAGTACACAGACTTCAAGATGTTCTCCGATGAAATGTTCCTGTCACTGGCCAGAAAGGTATCAGTTTTTAATGTTCCTGCCACTGGCCAGAAAGGGATCAGTTTGGATGGTGTCAGACTATTAAGGCAGTATCACAGAATCACAAAGTGGTTGGGGTGGGAAGGGACTTCTGRAGAACATCTAATCTGACTCCCCTGCCAAAGCAGGTTCACCCAGAACAGGTTGCACAGGATCACCTCCAGGGTGGGTTTTGAATATCCACAGCCTGTCTGGGCAGTCTGTTCCATGGCTCTGTCATCCTCACAGTAAGGAAGGTTTTCCTCATATTCAGATAAATGCTCTTCCTGTGTTGAAATGTCGGCCTGTTTCGCCCTGTCGTGTCTCTGAGCACCACTGGGAAGAGTCTGGCCCCATTCGTCTTGATACCCACCCTAAAGATATTTGAAARCACTGATAAGATCCCCTCTCAGTCATCTCTTCTCCAGGCTAAGCATCTTTAAATATGGCAGTCCTGCACTTGTTGTATCTTCAGTAAGATTTGATCCTTGTTTTTCCATCAAGACAGCACTGTGTGATAGGGGTAATATGTGGGGCCTGACCTTGTCAGTAATGAAAATGCTCAGAAAGCTGCAGGGGCTAAGGCCTGATTGCAAACTGTTTCCTGGCTTCTGGGTGTTCCTTTCATTCTCACTTGCTGGGAAGAAACTTGGAATTCATACCTTAAGCACAGCTAAATGTGTAACTATCCAGTTGCTGTGCTGGGTCTGCATGACATGAGAGAACTGAGGAGTGTATTTAAGAGTTACAAACAGCTTCTCTCTTGGTGTTGTTACCCTTTCTTGGGTATGCATTTAGGTTCGTCTTCCTGATGTGGARTTTTATCTTAATGTTGGAGACTGGCCAGTGGAGTATCGGAAAGCTAATGACACGCCTGGTCCTGTGCCTGTCATCTCCTGGTGTGGCTCTGTGGATTCCAGAGATATCGTCCTTCCRACCTATGATGTAACCCACTCAACTCTGGAAACCCTGCGTGGAGTCACTAATGATCTSCTCTCCATTCAAGGAAATACAGGTGAATCAGAGATCGTGGATTTAAGAAAAGTTTGTGATTTCCATCAAAGAAGCAAGTTGCATTCAAATAACGTGTTTGAGTCTTCAGTTCAGAGTGCTCTAGGAGATCCCTTAATACCAGAAGCTTAGTCTTCGCAGATTGCAAACACTTTGCAACCCTGCCACTAAGGAGTGTAATTTAGAACCAAAATTTAAGAAGTCCAGTTTACACATGTGAATTTTAACTTAAAGGGGTCCAGAAGATACCTACTGTGACCCAGCAAAAGAAAACTAAATATAATTAAAAGGCCTTTCTCCTCAGTGAAGGACTCAAATCTGTTTCTTCTAATCAAATAGTAACCCTTTTCCTGACTGTATTGTGGCCCAGTGTTCTGCTTGCAAAAAATGCATATGAATCCTGAAGAAGTAAGATGATACTGTGCTGCAGCCTCTTTCAAATGAGAAAACACTGTATAAACAATACCTTGGAGCGGGATCTCTTGACTTGTTTTTCTGGCTTAGAGAGAAGAGTCAGCTTTGCTGACAGGTGTCTTCCTCCCCCCAGGAAATTAATGAATACTTAGGGATCAAACAWATGCCATAAGCAATACCTAAGGAGTAAAACTTGAGTGAGAAATTATTTATTTTTATTTAATTAGTTCTCAGTTTCTCTTTATTAGTTTTTAAAATTAAATATTTTAATTAAACTATCAATTAGAGGCATTGTGTGTTTACTGATTTAGTACAGCTGCTTTTCCAATTAGGAGAGAATAAGAGAATACTCCACTTMGTGGGTCCTTTAGGGGAATTTTCAGCAGAAAGGTGAGGAAGGACATATTTAATGTTTTTAAAAGCCATTAGTAAGCAGAGGTTAAGTCTTCCAGGCTCTTGCTATGTATCTAGAGGAGACAACATCATCATTTAATTTCTGTTTTAAGGCATCATTGAGTGATTTCACAAGGACCTGACTAAATTRCTGGGTTACAGAAGTGAATTTTGCTAAGGACATTTGGTTATTGTGGCAGGCTTTATGGATGAAGAATTACTTTAATTGTTGGTATTTTCCTTACGTATTTTATTACAATCCCTTGTGTTCCTTTCACGATAGTTGAAGTTACTTAAATACAAAAYTGTAGAGTGGAAAAGCAATTCTCTGATTTCCTTTTATGAGTGGCTCAGTTTCTCATCCCAAAATTCAAACCAGAATTGGGAGTTCAACCCCATGATTCATCAGTGATTATGGGAAGCCATGCCTGTCTTGCCATGTCTCTGAGTGTAATGCCACTGTCAAACCAAGTTCCTTATTTGCATTAAACAAATCCTGAACATTTCACTGCTCTTTGCTTTTACCTTACCACTCACTGCTCATAGGTCCCATCTGGGAAAACAAAACTGAGCGGGCTTTATTCAGAGGTCGAGACAGCCGAGAGGAACGTCTCCATCTTGTCAAGTTATCCAAGGAAAATCCACAACTATTGGATGCTGGAATAACAGGATATTTCTTCTTCAGAGAAAAAGAAAAAGAGCTGGGGAAGGCTCAGCTGATGGGCTTCTTTGACTTCTTTAAGGTAACAAGCAAATTACAGTTTTGGATTAATTTTGCTGTCAAGTTCTTCCCAACTGAAAAGGCAAGGCTTACTTGTGTTAATTCTTTTCAGTAAACAGAACAATTACACTCTTCTGGGAGCCCGGGTCCATGCAGGGTAGATAAACCACCTGTAATCCATRTCCTAATGTGACACACTTGTAAAGAAAGACCTTTAAGAGACATCTAGGCGTATTTTTTATTTTTTAATAGATTGAAAAATTGATTTCTCACCATCAGGGTTTCTTTTATTTGGGGTAAAAATGAAAACAATGGACACAACTTGTATCCGTTGCAAGTACATTATGGATGTCAGAAAAAATCCCTGTAGTAAAAAATGAGAAAAATGGATGAGTAATGTACTTTAACACACAAATTCCACTGCAATAGAGGTATAAAAAATAAATGGGATGAAGTCCTATATAAAGCAATTGTAATATATAGCAATTGAAATTCTRTTCCAGAGACTGATGTATCAGAAATGCTGTAACTGCCAAGAACATCTGCCAAAGCAGTACATTCATGKTTACTTCTAGTGTAATGTTTTAGATTATTTTATTTAATAATATACTTCAGATTATTCTACAAAATGATAYGATTTTAAATCAGAATAAATTTCCTTTTTTAAATTTAAGTATAGATCTTCCTCACTGTAGCCCTTGCACTATCCCAGGACACTTCAATAGGATACCCATCAGGCAGTTCATGTGACACAAAGGTTCTTGACTGTCAACCTGGGGTTGAAAACAAATCCTTTTTCCATTATGCTATCCAGAAGACCATGAAACTACACCTGCTTAATATTAAAAACAAATTTGAAGATGAAAATTAATAAACATGATTACATCTTGCCTGTTAAAGTAGTATTTTACACTGTCAGTTTTCCCATTCTGATACAAAACATTTCGCCTTTTTTTCCCTCTCTTCACACTACAGTACAAATACCAAGTGAATGTAGATGGCACCGTAGCAGCTTACAGGTTCCCATACCTCTTGCTGGGTGACAGCCTGGTATTGAAGCAAGATTCCCAGTACTATGAACACTTCTATATTGGATTAAAACCTTGGAAACATTATGTTCCAGTGAAGAGAAACTTAGAGGACTTGCTAGAGAAAATAAAATGGGCTAAGGTAAGTTCCATTACTGATTCAAGTTCAAAGAGGTRAACAAACATGTAAATAATTTCTCTTACTAGTCTCTTCTTTTGTATTTTGTGTTTCCACATACATATTTTGCATGAACTCTTTCAAGATCCTGTAATAAATTAAGTACATTCTGTTGTTCACATAAGGTGGGGAGGCCTTAATTGAAGTAACCATCTCTATTTAGGGCAATACTTCAGAGTCCATTTTAGGTATGGGCAGAAAAGTTCATGAGTCAGAGCCTTAGATTACTAAGGTAATGGTGAAAGAAACAACCAGATTCCTAGATACTACTTAATTAATCCAAGAGCTTTTTTAGGCTCTAGAGCAGAAGTTACTGCATGTTCTGTTTGAATGTACGAAAAATTGCTGCTCWGTAACATGCTCAGAATGAGAGGCTRGAATCCTGTAAGCAARTGGATATAACTGTGTGATTGAAAACACCATTTGTGCTTTAAACAGTGTTAGGTTAAAAAACACAGGAGCACTTTTTCTTCTGAGAGTACTGTAGTTCTGCCTAAGGAGTCAGAGGAGAATACTAGAAGCTCTGAAATCTAAACCTAAAATGCTTGGGAATAAGTACATAAATTCAATATTTTTAAAAGGAAGACATGGAATTCCATTGCATGGGGGAGAAGAACAGCTGTAGATTTGTCTTCTGTAAAACTAGGTATGTCTGGGAGAATCAGACCTTATTTTGAAGAGGATTGTGGCTTGGACGAAACCGTAGAGCAGTATTCACATGAGTTTTCAGGATTGTACTSTTAGTCATGAAAGCTGTTATTGATWGCCCTAACATACCAGTAGTGACAATAAAAGCAATCCAGTATTTTTAAACAAATCTGCGTTTTTAACCATGCCTTTGCAATCTACCTGTAATATTTGAATAGCCCATCGAATAAAACTTATAATGCTAGCCAGGTTTTCAGTAGCTCACTGATTGCTCTGTTATCCATTTGTTTCATCTGAATTTTCCAGGAAAATGATGAGAAAGCAAGACAAATTGCTAAAGAAGGACAGTTAACAGCAAGAGAATTACTTCAGCCTCACACATTTTACTGCTACTATTACAAAGTGCTCCAGGTTAGTACAAGAGATCACTTCATTACATTCCCCCCARCTGCTCCTGCTGTTGATGCTACAGATATCATATGGGGTCCTTACATAGATCAATAGCAGACATGGTACCTGTTATTCACAGGAGATCAGTGTGAAGAGCTTTGCTAAACCCTGCTTCTTCATTAAAGAAGGAACCTGACATAATAGCTGTTTTACCAAATAGGCAGCTTTTTTTTGCCCCCATCAACTCTGTTGTAGTTGTCACTTGGTATTTGGTTTCYAATCTCTGTAGGAGATAATCTGTATATCCCATTTTCTTCATTTTTCCTTACATACTTCTCACACTTACGTAATGAGCTACTTCTACCACAAAACAATGAATAYATGGAAAAGAACGTCCAGAAGTGATTAGTAGAGTGGTAGGGGGTGAAACAGGCCCAGCAGTCATTTCTTCCCTGGAAAATTCAAATGTCTAGTGTAAGAAATTTTTCCTCTCTGTAAGTCTGGATTTCTTTTTCCTTATCTGCTGTGCAGTTAGATGTCAGCTTCAGCAGCTGCGGGGTGACACAAAGCTTGGAACTGTTCACTCTACAAAAATGACATTTTTATGCATTATCTGCGTGAAGTGGCTAGGCTTAAATAATGACAGTGTTCAAGTTACCATAATAATAGACAAAAACATGAAAGGAGGTTTTCAGAGGCAATGTAGCCCATTATTAGGTGTGGTACAAAGACACCTTGTGCAGATTTTGTAAACAATGACATAAGGAGCCTGGATAAAGGCAGGCTTCTGCGTGGAAGGGAGGAGGGAAATTCTKCTGCGGGAATTATATGTTGGTGCTTATAGCATTCTTAAGTGTTGTTTACATATTTCAGAAATATGCTGAACGCCAAGCCAGCAAACCTGAAATACGGGATGGAATGGAACTTGTACCTCAGCCTGATGACATGGACTCGGTGTGCAGTTGCCACAGGAAAAAGCCTTTAAGGGAAGATCTGTAACTGTACTGGATGGAGGAAATCACCCATTTAAAATGCAGGAATAGGAATTAAGCTGTGAAATCTAAGACACTTATGCACTAGCAGACATTCTTAGTTATGTATTCTTGTATTTTCATACCCTTTTTCATGTTCACTCTGATCTACAATGCTGGTTCCCACAATTTTGGCTCCATGACCACCACCAGACAGATACTGAGCCTGCAGTGGGGAGCGTCTGGGGGAGTTTTTTGATGTACTGGATCATCAGGAAAAAGAGCACAGAGCTGCTCGYGTTTCAGATGGGACCTATTTACCCAAGTTTTATGAGGAACCACAAAAGATCTKGCCATGAATCAGTGGAGCATTTGTGATACATTAAAACAGTGTTACAATTTCTTCATAMAGTTTACCTCAATGTTAGATTGTTTCTTGTATACAAAACAATTTTGTAACTAGACAGAATGAATATTTGATATTTACAGATACCAGATCTGGTTGTGTTTTCAGATTACTTGGCCTGCGGCAGGTAACAGAACAGATAACATGGTACGATACTCATCAGTTTTAGAGAAAAATGAAGAGGAGGGAGAGAGATTAGAATAATATGTTTATAAACCTCTTGGCCGTGAGTTAGCAGAATTAAATTCTGCTTTAAAACAGACTCTTTAACTATCACAATCACAGTGTTTTGAGTGCCAGTTCACCGCTCTGAAGACCTGTTCCCTGCTAGTGACCGTATCTGTGAAGGTAGGCACAAATCCACGAAAGGAATTGGGAATTTCAGGCCGTGGGAAACACTGGTGTCTCAGTTCAGCAATGCCATCTACAGTATTCTAGGCTACTGGAAATCTGAAATTTTTTAGCAGAGTTTTAGACCCCTAGGTTTAAATTTTAGGTAATAGACTAGGGGTTAGAGTCCCTGTGAAGCAAYTGGGAAGCTGGTTGTCCTCAGTTTGATTCAAAGCCATTTTCCAGAGAGTGCCTTAGCTCCAGACTGGACAAGAGGTCTTCAGGGCTTCCACTGAAGTTCATGTGCAGCCATAAAGTGAACAGTGCAAAATTCRCAAAACCACAAGGAGCTGGTAATACCTTTGTATTGATAAACTGTGCCTTTGGGTGGGGAGGAAGAACAACCCTGGATGTGACTCCAAATTTTTACCCAAGTTTGTCTACTTCAAAATATATAAGTAGTCCTAGAAAGAGACACCAATACTGAGACCAATGCCCACAAGCACCCATTTCTGTCCTCTGTGTTTTCACCGTGGTTAATGAAGCCTGGTGAAGGCCTAATGAGGCCTAATGAAGCCTACTGAGCAGCTCCCGGCTCAGTACAGGTCAGATAAAAACTTTCGTGGGTACCAAATTCTCCCCACACTGAAAAGAAAGGAGGTACCTTAGACAGTGGACTTGTCTGATTTGATGCACAAAGCTTAGTGCTCTACACCTCAAGCAGGTTTCATTCTTGGTTCTGTGCTGCAAGTTGCRTAAAATTTGTGCATTAGAATGGGARGGAAGGAYAGATTTTTCAGTGTGMTAAATATCGAAAGAACTTCAGGTTTGTAAAGAGATTAATGCAACTGTCCATCGGTCATTTATTGCATTATGCCAGATAAGAAAAAACCTGTATCGTGCTGCTCTACCCACAATCCTCTTTGTTCTGGATCTAACATACATATGTATAATGGTTGTATTCTTATTTAGCATGACAGTCAGTCCCAGAATTTCAGCCTATAAATATATGTTCAATTCATCTGACATAAAATTTTCTACATCAAAATTCAGTAATAGGGTTCCAYTGCTGAAGCTGACACTTAAAACTGAGTATAGGCTCCTCTTTCCTTCTATGTGTACAGTCATTTTTACTGTGTTATATGATCTCACTTTGTGATGTTACCCATTATACCATGTGCTTTTTATATGCACCAGTATTTATGGGGGTGGTGTGCTCAGCAAAGGTAATTAAGCATAAYAGATGGTTGAACAGCAAAGTTTTCCACATATTTCAAATCAAGAGTCCAAAAGTGATCCATTTGTATTTTTTAAATGGGAGAGAATAGGAGGAGTCATGGCACACACTGTATGGTTCTTTGAAAATATCTGTGTAGTAAAACTTGCCTGGCTTGAAASAGAAGTCTTTTAAAATGAAAGAAGAATCAGATAAAATTTTAAATTATGGATATAAGTAAATGTGAAAATTTTATCCCTCCTTTCTTAAACAATTCTTAGCCAAAAAAAACTTCCTGCCTTTGTAATAAGTGTCACTTCAAAGCAAAGACTAGTTTGTCAACAGAGTGCCTTACAGATACTTTTATATCTTACAGACAAGAAATACCTGAAAAATATTACTACATTAATCTTCTTGCCATAATTAAAAAATAGTAGAGAAATGGTGGAATTTTTAGTACAAGTCCATAGTAATTTGAGAAAATCTGTTTCAATTTATAACTACAGGTCCTCCAAAGATAACATAAGGTAAGGCAAAATCTCTGTTATTTCCATTGGTGCTATTATATGCAATTTAAATTGCAATGAAGAACAATCGTAACTATTGCCCCACCAGGCCAGAAATATGGCAGATCTGTTTTGAGTTTGATGAGAGGATGAGACCCTTTGGCCTGGTGTGTTACAGGAATTGCTAAATATTGAGTAAAACCTGTTGTTTCGAGTGAAGTGTAATGCATATATAAAATAGAATTTTTAAGTGGCATACTTAGATTAGACTTTGCATTATTCTGTGGTAGTTCTTGAACAGCACCTGTTCAAAGRTGTAAAAATCTCTTGGTGCTGGTAATTTTGAAAAATTTTGCTATAGTAATTCCAGTTTTTAAATACAGAGAGTAAAACCTGTCCTGTTTTCATCAGTGACTTACTATTGATGACAGAGACAGGTTTATTTGCTTGAAACAGCATGTCCTAAAGCCCAAGGACAAAGTTTTCAAACACACTAACCTGCAGAGAAGGTGTCTGACTTTCAGAAACGTTGATCAGGCAGAGCCTTTATGTAAAGTTCTTTATTTTCAGATTCCTGTAACCTTTACAGTAGCTTCATACAGTGAACACTGCTTTTRTGTTATGTCATATGTGTGTCCTAATTTATTTAGGCACCCACATTTGGAAACACCCAACCTCAATTTCAGCTTGAAGTGAGAGCTAGTAAATTCTGATCTGTTGAACACAAAGGAAATACAGTTTCATATCTATTTTAGACTGTRTTTTTTGAGATTTACCTCAAGATCACCAGTATTCTGGTTTCATGACAGAATTGTGCCTGGCCCGCCTTGTAGATTCATAATTAAAGAAACCCTGTAATCAAAGCTTGTCTGATGGAATGTTAGATTTAAGCATCCATGCTGGGAAGCATACGCCCGACATTTATTACATTACAAAGTAAATTATTTAGTTAGGGAGGAGAGCTGACAGGGAAGACACCTGTTGGAGCACGTTTGAGAAGCTTGCAAAGAAATTATAATAAAGAATAGAAGCATTATATAAACCTACGATATTATCAGCTCCTTTAGTACTGCAGTTACACAAAAGTTTTCTCTGTAAGGGCAGTGATGAAGTGCAAGATTTTATATTTTAATATATTACAGGATTTAACCACTAGAATCTTTTATAGCATTTTAATGAGTACTAATACTTGAGTTTTAAGTACAGCRCTTCTGTGTTGAGTTGTTAATAAGAAAATACATACTCAGACAGTTACGGCACTAATTTTGGATTTTGCTGTGAGAATAAGGGAAAGAGGATTATTTGCATGTTTGTTTGAAGTCATTTTAGACATATGTAGCACATGACTTAAGTCCCATCCCATGAGCAGAGATAAGCAGGAGGTGAATTAGCAGGAGTGTGGCTAGCAGGTCAAGGCAGGTTTGATTTATTCTGTTTGGCAGGTGGAGACCACAGCTGGAGTGCTCTACTCAGTTTKGGACTCCCTGTACAAGAAAGACATTGACACAACGGAGCAGATCCACCATGGACCACCAGGTGATAAAGGGAATGGGGCACGTGGTGTGTGAGGAAAAGCTGAGCGAGCAGGGTTAGGTCAGCCTTAGGAAGAGAAGAAATCCTAACAACAGACACAAGTGGCATCATGGGAAATTCCAATTAGATAAGGAAAAAAATCTTAAACTGCTGTCCCCAAGGAGATGACGTTTGGTCTACGTGACCTCCAGATGTTCATTATTCTATTAATTATATTTCAGTCATACAACAAGCATTTATCTAGTCACATAGCAGAAGGATGAATCCRGCTCTTGCGTGTCTCCAAGAGGCAACGTAGCCTTTCTGTGCTGACACTTTTGACACTATTCATKTTTACGTCTCCCTTGATAATACTGACAAAAGTTTTGCACATATTTTTATGTTGGCTTATAAGGCTATGAAGTCATATATTAATATTAATTCTACATTWAATGTATAATATTAATATTAACATGTATAATGTATTAATACTATACATTACTAATATATATTATCACAATATATCCTAGTCATGCAGTACACAGAAGATTTGACAGAAGTCAGATACATTGATTTGGCATTACAGGCCTGGACTGAAAAGTGCAAGACCTGCTATTTGGAGAGGCTGAACATACCTTACAGGTATGAGACAATTGCAAAATATTTTGAGTACAGTTATGAAACGTCAAAGTAATTGATTTTAAGCAGRCAATGGGAATATTAATGTATTATATAAGTTACACAAGTGATTAAATGCCAGCATACTCTGTAGGCCACTGGTGAATGAGCATGACCTGTTCCCATCCACTCCCAACACTAAAAAAAAAATCACTCAGGACTCATCCGTACCACAGKTTCACAGTGCAGTGTAGAGAGACTCAGGACAGCTCAACAGAATGCCAGAAGGATCTACCTGATCCAGGACATGTGAAACGTGAAAACCTTCCTGCTGAGAACCCATGAAATACTTTATCCTGGATGGAACCTGTCCCAAAGACGATCAGTTCAAGCTGTACCTGTGAGACTTTAACTTCCCCTGTAGCTTACGTGACTCAAAGAGCTCATTTACCATTAGCAGATAATTTTCTGTCTTTGGGTCAACAGTAGCCACACTTTCAAATATTCTGTGTCTCCCAAAATGCTCAGCCAAACTGTTTCACCACTCCAGCTGCAGACATCTCATACCCACGATAAACCAAAATGGTTGCTACCATGGTAATAAGGCTATRAAGGCAGCTCCAACACCTGATTTCATCTTGCATGTTACTCTCACCGAATTTTTCACTCTTGCAACAGCAAGATATTTGAGCATCTTATTAACTTTAACATGGAAATCTGCTCTCAGAGTGAAAAGAGTTTAGAATGAAAACTGGGYTTTACTTCCAAATGATTTTTTTTTGTTCAGGACCATCAGCTTTCACTTCAGGAAGAAGATAGTTTTGTCAGTACAGTTCATTTCATTTAATGAATGAGAAAAAGAAACATTACTATCCCAAACCAAGAAAAACACTCTACAGGTAAAAGTTGTTACTCTTTCAAAAACAGATGCCTGTTACAGATACTTGATGTGTTCTTTGTAGTGAAGGCAAAGCATGAGCTTTATAATCAAAATAAGTTTCAAGGAATACTTCAGGAATAGGCTATCCTGTATTACTGTATGCTAATAGTGATCTCTAAGATCAGATAATTCAAAACAGTGAAAGTAAGAGCCTGGGTTATTTAGTAAGATCTTATTTGCTTAAATGTGAGATACAGAAGAATCAAGARAACATACCTCTGACATAAGCACTCAAGCAAAATCCTACAGAGAAGAGATTCAGTTCCTGCCAAGTCTCCTAAAGTTTACTTAGGCTTTTTGGCAAGGTGAGTTATTTACAAAACATCAGGAATGTATGTTACTGATAGAAGCTGCGTCTCTGCCAATAAATTCTGCTTTCTTCTGCCTTAGGAACAAAGGCATTTTAATGGGGACTAACCCTAACTCCAGCATGCCCTTTCACACTACAACCATTCCATATTATTTAGACTTTGGTATTTCCTCTACTCCCTGAAAGATTTATTTGTGTCTACAAGGTAACCAATTGTCACACTGGTTCCAAACTTCCTGTAACTGAACCTGAAATGTAGGTGTAAATTTTAAATACCTGATTTGTACTAAATTACCTTTTGACTCTTTAAAAAATTCAAGCATTTAAAGGTGGTACAGATCACGTAGATTATGACTTTCTAACGATTGTAAATATTAGGCAATACTCACATGCAAGTAGTACACACATAAGATGCAGAATAATTCTGAGTGTTTCTTGTGAAATAGTTTCGAAAGTCTGATTGCCTGCAGGAAGGTAAATTTCCCTGTGACAAAACACTGTCTCAAATCAAAATATTCCCAGAGATCCAGAAAACCTGTGACTTTTTCCTGAATAATTATAATAGTATATGTATAGTGAATTGTTCACTGGAATCATTAATGGCTAATGCTATTACATATATGTTTAGATAGATATATATTACATATATATTTCCCTCATTACAGTTCCATTGCAGTCACAGAAACACACACTCACAACTGGATCTTTTATTTCAAAATGGAGAGAGACATGGGAGAACTGACTTTCCCCTGTAAAATGTGAACCCATCAACTCAGAACAGGCCATATGAACACATAAGATGCCAATTTGAACGAGGTCTCCTCCAGGTCTCCTCTACCAYCATATGCCTGTCCTGTGAACCTGACAAAATTAAATCTTCAGGAAGCCCTTTGTGAGCACACAGCTCCGAGTGCCATTCACAAACTCGAGCATTTGCTTGAATCTGATGATGACTGAGCTACCCTCACATGCAGTGGGGGTTTTCCCCATTCCAGTCCCAAGTCACCCCAAAGCCAAACAATTCTTCTGCTCAGAAGTTATTACCTTTAACCTTCTCAAGCAACTACAGTGCACTATCAAATGTGTTTGCTATATTTAATACCAAGTTCCACCCTGCCTTGATGACATGCAGCAGTGTGTAATTGCTGTCAAACTGGATCTGTTAARTAGGTTACTGGTGCAGCTGTCACCAGTTTGTTGATGGATTATCTTGTTAAGGAGGCCATTTAAAAAAATCACTTTTGATGGGGAATACAAATTTTGTTCACATAGAAAGGCCAGATTCTGGTCCCGKTGGGGGAAACGGCACTGGATTTTTGCTGAGTGCATTCAGATTTATAACAATAGATAAGGTACTGAAGGCCACCTGATCCAATGAAAAAATTAAGGGAAAAGCACCTACTGTTTATAGACAAGTGAAAAATTAGCTTGAATATCTTTAGGGTTAGGACACAGGACATCTAAACCCAGCTAAGCAGTTTCCAATTTCTAGGAACTTGATACCTTAACAATTTGTCCCCTAAATCAATTCCCTTAAATCGYTCATCATTTGTCAAGACTAGCTGAAAACCTAAAGCAAATCAGAAATTCTATGCATAACTGGCAAAGCTACGGAGATGAAAGTTTTATSCCTTGTCAGTTAGATTTATTTCTTATGGTTACACCATCAAGTACAATTTTAACAACCTCTGCCCAGATATGAAGAGCCCAATGAATGTGGATGATAAATTGTCATTTTCAGGGCAACAGAGGCAACGTCAACACTCACTGAACTCATTAAATTGGCCCTTGAAGATTGCACCATTTCAGAATGGAGTCTCTTACTTGTTTCTGAGAGAAAAATGGTCCATTCCAAAGAAATTTTAAATTCTATAGGAAAAGAGAAAAACATGTTATGATACTGGTCACTTAAGTACCCAATTTAATAAGTAAAACAAAATTCAGACATTTTATGTGGCTTCTTWCTTAAAATGGTTTGGCTTTTACTGCAAAACTGTGTTAATTAACCATCTTGTTAATTTTCAGCTTCTTGAAGTGGATCACTATGCTACATTATCCCMAGTTAATAAATGGTTAAAATATTCCATACTCATCAATTGCATGGGAAATAAATATTTTCTGATTAAATAAATATAATCTGATAGTGCTCAAAGACTTCAAGTGGTTGCCTGAAAAGAAGACAGAATAAAACTAAGCCAAGGCTCTCTTTCCCACAAAAATATTGTGTATTGAGTCGAGTCAAAGCCTATAAAGTTTCTCTTCCTCCTCTTCTTGGAAAAAAATCATCAGTTCATGAAGAATAAGCTGTTCATTTGTTGCTGAGATAGATTTTTCTTTGGGAAAGCAAGCAAGCAAATAAATAATGAGTTACAAAATTAGTGTTTTGACTTCACAGGAACGCTTCCTTCCCATCATGGAGYCAGCAGGTATTCCCTTGGCTGGCATTTTGAGATCTGAGAGCCAAGACAGCTCTCCAGGCATTGCACCAYGATCAAGAAGAATTCACTCATGGTAAGTAAACCAGCCCCTGTATTTTCAGTTAAACCAATGCTTACTATAGGGTCCTCTTTGTTCTTCCATGGAAAAATATAAYGTATTAATAGTTAAAGCTGCCTATTTGTATAATATTGTCAGACTAATACTTGTCTGGATTTAGCTTTGCATTTTAATTTAATATTAAATTACACGTAATTGCTTTCTGTAATAAATCTTAATTTGGAGTACTGATGAGGATGAAGGCCTCTGGCAAGAGCTGGCTCTTAAAACTGGCCTGAGTAGTTCCAAAAGTTATCTTGTGAGTACAGCTGGGCCTGCTTTCAAACAAAATTCACATAACTCTTATGGTTTTGTGATCACTGTTTCAAAGGCTTTGTCTTTGAAACTGAGTTGCAATATCATCAGCAAATCTAGGGTGTGTTTTCTCTTGTGCTTTATGTCCTCTTCTTCATTCAAGGATTTTGAAACTCCTTGTTATATAAAAGGCAAGAGGTTTTGTGAAACAGTATCTCCTGGCTTAATCAGTACAGGCATTCTCCTCTTTTATTTATCTGACTTTATCTATATGGCTGATCTAACAGCACTAACCATATATGAGATATTTATTTTAAAATAAAAAACACTTTAGGGTTTTCTTTTTCCCTGTGATAAAGTAAATAATACAGAAGAATATGCTAAATGGTARGAAGGATTAAAAAATGAAAATGAAATAAAGTTTCTTCTTTCTCTGATACATTAAAAAATTCCTGTTACCTGGGGCTGGATCAGCAGTGTGAATAAGATAGTTATCTCATCTCTCACGCCTTCACATTATTGACAAGGAAAGTCAAGGTAGTACACATGCTGCTGCCATATCTACCTGGTCACAGGCTATCCAGAAATGAACGGGTGTTTTTGGTRGTCTGGTAATCTCTGATTTAAGAAACAGAGATTCTGCTTACTTACCAATATGATGGACATTACATTAAAACACAAATGGACATACATATCCATTTAAAAAATTGATCCATTGGGCGATTCAATTGCATCTCTTCAACTGTTRTTGAAATCAGTGACCAAATCTGCTTTGTTGGCAGTAGGTATTACTTCCTTCTTCTTATGTTTTTCTTTAAGTAATTGAATTTTCAGACAGGGGGGATACTCACCAAAGCTCTCCTTCCTGAATGTTCTTGATGCAACTYTAATTTAAACTCTAGAACTGTTCAGTAATAGAAGTATCATACTCAACAAATATCAAATTTTAAAAAAATGACCGAGACTCACTCCCTGGAGCAGACAGGGCTTGCTGCAGGAGTGCCAGCTCCCTGTGAGTCACCCCCTCCTCCTGGCTTGATCCTCAAAGCAAAAGGCGAGTTTCTGTGCTCATTCCCAGCTGGTGGGAAGCACATTTGTCGTGTCAGGACACGAGTCCCAGCTTATGCTGCAGCTCACACCTGCCTGTCGGGCTGAGGGGGAAACCAGCACTGTGGAAAGACACATGGACTGAGAAATCTGAATGTGGGTGGTTTTAGTGTTCAGGCACTGGGATGGTTTTCTGTGGTCTYCATGGGAGCTGCCAGTTGGAAGGGACACACMGRGATCAGGGAGTCCAGGTGCCAGYCCTGCACAGGACACCCCAAGGGTCACACCATGTGCCCAAGAGCTCGAAAGCGTGTGTATCCCAACCTCAAGGATGATTACTGAATTATTCCAAACTTTCATTGGTGTGCTGGTCAGCCTCAGATTCACCTCTCATCTCTTTTCTGCTCTCTYATGGTACCCAAGTCTGTTTTCTGGACCAGCTCTTGTGAACAGCCACTCAAATCTGCTCCTGTGTGCTTTGCCTTTTGTTATTCTTGCTTTTTTCCTTCTGTGCGTGTCCTGTTTCGTTTCTTCAGGGTCATGTACTTGCAGAGGTCATTCTTCCAGAAGTAAAGACCTGTCCTGCATGCTTACTTGTCCAACAGATGACTCTAATTCATCAATCTTATACATATCCTCTGTTATTGCTTAAAAAAGACGATGAAATTATTTCTCAAGGGTCACAAGGAGTTACTTAWGGCTAGAAAAGAATTAAAGAAAGGATATTGATATCCTATATTTTTCAGAGTATCTCTGTGAATCTAAGGTGGAGAAAAAGAGCTGAGTTTCACTCRTTGATTATTTTCAGGAAAACTTAATTTAGGGATCTAGATGCTCTATAGCAACCCACTTTCTATGCAGTGAATGCAGGACTGTAGTTTATACTGATACATACTTCTCTCTAAAAGCTTTTTCACTATTAGCTTTTTCTGATATGGAAAGAAACTATTTCTTCTAAAAATGTGTTCAATTTATCTTACATGAATAGGATTTATTAGACCATTTCAAGTTCTTAAATTCTCTAAGGTTGGAATGGGAAAATCTGTTCACAGCCTTCTTCAACTAAGTTACAGAGGTCTGTTTTTTTGTTTTTTTTTTTTGTTTATTTGCATTTCTTTACAGGATGCACACAGATTTCTTTACAACAAAGTATGCAGAGGTTTTAGAAGAACAGATCTTCCTCTTCTGGTGAAGAGCATTTAGCCTCAGGAGACAAGGGCTGTGCAAGTTATGGAGAGCAATGCTAAGTAAGATACATTTTGCTTGTTGGGTTCTATTGCTGGCTGTCTCACTGCTTAGAAATTGTGGCATAGGGTTGTAAAATAAAGCTCATTACAGCATATAAACCAGACAGTTATTTTTAATTGCCCCCAGTCTTTTCTGGGTCCCACAGTTACGGATGCAYTGTGAGACTGAAAACAAAGCTGAACATCAAAGTAAAGACAAACAAAACTAAAGGGAAGGAAGAACAGAAGAAACCAAGCACACRGAAGGTAGCTGTCTTTTAGAATTAATTATGATAGACTGGAACTCATTTCTTACAAGCCATTTGAAAGCTGCTTGATAATTATAAAAATATTTATAGGCCAAGTTGACTTCCTTTGCTTATTTTTGGGAGACTGTAGATGGTGTGTTCTTTAAGCAGCTTTGTCTGCCTGCTCGAAACCTCACTATGTTTTGCAAGTTTTCCAGTTTCTCTGCTAAAAGGCTTAAACCTGATCAAGAGCCTGTTTCTGCAAGTACTGCCAAGTAATTGAAATAGAGTATTCACAGTAATGTACTTTCTGACCTAATTTCTCTGTAGGATGCAAGCAWTACAGATTATTATCTTTCCACTTGCAGACAGAGGTGTTGCAGCAGATACTGTCATCAAAATCGGGCGAGGTACTGTAAGCACCGTTTTACCATATGGGGTATTCTCTGTGGTGTTCMTTCTGGATGCACAAAATTGCCACTGCCTGAAAGCACTAAGAACATTTGCATTCATTAAATGTGTTCAGCAAAGCCAGTCCAGGTGGATAAAACTGGATTTTAAAATCCACCACCTCTGCAGTGCTCACCACTTGTCAGTGTTACTGACACACAGATTTGGGGGTGGTGGGTTAACTCCTACTACTAAAACACAGCCTTCTTTCCAACTCRGTTTTTCTGTTGATTTCAGCTGAACCCGATTCTTATGGCAGACTTTAGWGGGCAGATTTATTCCACCTGCCTTTGGTCCCTCAGCAGAGATACATCAGCAAGGAACAGAGCTGTTCAAGGTCCCTCTGTAGAAAAGAGRAAGAAAGTGGTATCTCTGCAGGACAATTAACATCCTGGCTGCTGTAAAATTGCTCAGGAAAGTACCTTTCTAGCTCTGGTAGCTACAGTCAGCCTGTGGTGTGTAGGCTTCTGACTTGGGTGCTGCAGGGAGACTTGAAAAATGGTATGAAATGTCTAATTGTTCTTTTACTTGAAATATCTTAATGTGTGTCTGCTTTGATTTGGGCATAAAATGATTGTCTCTTGATTTCTGGTGTTTAAATAACTTAAAAAAATCACAGTCCTGTGTAAATGTCTAATGCTTTTGAGGTATTTAAATAAGTATTATGGCTACCWCTCCTGAAACTGAGGAAGGAAGTTACTTTGTTGCCCAGCTGTCTGGCATTTTTACTAAATTTCAACTTTTCTTCCATAACTATTGTGTTTCTATCCTTCTCCTCTTCCTCCTTATTTAACTTTGCCTCATGCACAAAATGTCATTAGTACACCTCAACTAAATTCTAAATGAGGATGATGAAGCATTAGGAACTGCTTGGACTTCTGTTCAAATTGTRGTGTAAAGGCCAGGGTGGAAAAGTTACTTATTTTTCCTAAGATGATCCCTTTCAGTAAGTGYTCACAAGAAGTAAGGAAAGGCTGTGTAGGTAGGAATTGCAGAGTCCTGTCATACCTTACTAGAGAAAAATGCACATACAATCTGTGCAAAGTTAGAGCTCCCAATGAAAGTGCTGTGAGAGGCAGGTATTTTGTGCCAGACTCMTCTCTGCCAACCACGATTCAGGATTCATTTCTAAAGCTCAGGGATTGTCACTCCAGACTCAGGGRAGCTCATCTTTGAGAAAGTAAGTAAATGMTYGTACTCTTGTCATGTAGGCTGACAMTGTGGAAGAAAGCTTCACTGTCYTTACACAGCAAAGTGYYATCTGCARTTATTGCCATGSACCTTCTCTACAGCAGCAGTTAGCAGGGCAGTCACTCAGCAGAATCCCAAAGCCTTAGCAGTCCATTAAAGTATGGYTTGAAATGTGCAGCTGTTGCAGTCAAGATTTCTGAGTGTTTCACCTTTACTCTTGAATTACCCTAAGGATTTAACTGGTTTTATTGTCTTTCATTCTTGGCATGTGGTTTTGTTAAGCAAGATTGCAACATCACTGCACATGCACTTAAACGTTTTAGAATTAACTTTATTTTGGTTCTGACTGTACTTTTTGAAGAGAAACAATCTCATGAATGGTTGTAAATACAGTCCTTTGCAGCATTTTCTTTCTATTTAACATTTCCAGYATTAGGAAATAGTGTCTTGTACAAAATAAAGGCCACACATCAGTACATGGGAGTGGCCTCAAGAATCTTTCAAGAAAAGCAGCTGGTTTGTATTAATCCACAAGGATAAATCACTTTCAGATCATAAAAAATTGAGCAACTCCACAATAAGGAAGCCCTAATTTTCTTYTCAGTGGACGATAAAGCATTTCCAGTAAATTCTAATTGCCTCATAGAGAGACTTGGAAGACCAATATCAAAATAATGAGTTATTCATAAAGTGGATATGTTAAATGCATTGTGACAGCCAGCAATAAAAGTAAATTACTTACTTTATATAAGGAATATAAAACATGTTCTAACAGCCTCCTCCTCCAGCTACKAAATCCATTAAAATCCTTGGTGTATAGTCAACTGGATCACTTCCTCACTGAGGTATTCATATTTTTAGTAAAGAGTAATTGTAAAATGCAGTAGGAATGTAGAAATATTTTTAATACTRTCATATTAGTTTTCTTAAAATTATTTTATAGACATGCAATTTCTTAAAGCATTATTTAACTTTAAAAGCTTCAAGCATGCCTAGAATTAATGATGAGTAATTCTTTCACACCAACAAACTACAAAAACACCCCTCAGCTACAACTGTAATGCAGATGCTGTAAAGAAACCAGAAAGCAATGAGTGAAGAAGGGGAGAGACTGAAAGCTCTGAAGGGGAAAGGCTGAAAGCTCCATTCAGTGAGGGCTTTTGAAACTAAAAAAAAAAAAAAAAAAGAACACTGTATGACCTTTATAGCCATTAGAACCAAGAAAATAGTGTGAGGAGAAGGATAGCGAGAAACTGGCAGGGAGCCCACAAGCTGACTTCCATGCTTTACATGACGTGAAACTGGTAATTTGGAACTGAAKGATGACAGGACACTTTTGCTTTAAGTAATGGTTGTATATCCTGAGGAGAAGCARAGGCTCAGAGGTCTGTGTTTATCTTTCTGTTCATAATGTCTGCTCTAACACAACACCTCGTGTATTGTCAGGGCTTTCYGAGACTTTGTGTGTAAATGACAGAATTGAGGTAAACAGATAAGAGGTAATTACAATGAGGTGTGTGTCACATGGAGGTTTGCACCCACAGTGGTTTTCACAAACCTAAGTAAATTGATTTWAAACTGGTTTTAATTACACTGGTAGGACAGCTGTGTGCTGATAGGGCATCAGTTTTAGTGTTTTGACATAGCCAAGGGGCTTTTAGAGTGTATGATCTATTTACCCATTATGCAATGCTTAGGTGTGCTAACATAATCAACTGATTAAGGCAGTGAGGCAAGTCTAAAAACCAAAACAAAATCATATAAAGAACCAGATTCTCCTCTCCTTTACACTGAGATGACTGAAATTGTTTTCTGGAATTTAGACTTGCACTGCTCTCTTGAAAAAAAATCTGCTTACAAACTTACTCAGTGAGAAATAATTTTGTATTTTAAACAATGCAACATATTAAATAAAAATTTTTAAGTGAAAAAAAGAGCAAAACCCCAGAGCACTGATATTGGATGTGTCTCATAATTGCAGAAACTGGTTTGTTAGATGTACCATCTTAGGGAAAGTTAATTTGCTTCTATCTCCATTTCTGTAGCACAAATAGAACTGTCTCTATTTGATTTTATTTGGGGTTTTTTTTAGTTTTAAGTTAGTGTTATAAGGATTTGTATCAGGTATAGATATAGAGTGATTTTAAAGATGCAAATTATATCTTTACTCACATTGCCATGCTTTTGTTTAAACTTGAAGTTTATTAARTGACAGCATGGGATTGTACAAATTGACTCTGATTCCACACCGTAACTTCAGTGGAATAGAGGCTTTTATTCCCTTTCAAGAAAGAGAAACAGATTTCATAGCAGGACCAGATGTACACCACTAAGTTCACTTTTTCTCATTTTTTTTCAGCAGTAGAAGCTGACTAAACAAGCACTGCCTGACTGAAAAAGCAAATATCAATTGCTTTATAGTGGACTGTGCTGTTTATAAACACCAATGTCAACATTCTGCTCAAAATRCATTTGCAATAACTTTGTTTTTCAGAATGCATTTCTTTTAGAGCACAACACAAGGCTTTTGCACAGTGGATTGCTGAATTAATGAATTGAATTAATGCTCAAAGTTTATACTGAAACTGAAAAAGCTGTTACAAAGCRATCCTTTATTTTTAGCTCTTATTACCAGGAATTTTAATTTTYAACCTGTTTCAGTAAAATTTATTTAGATGCCTTTTGCCTGTAAAGTAATCCCCTCTAAACTGGGATTATCCCTTCTGTCTGCCCAAGCCTGTTTGCTCTTACTTCTGGCAGTTGACAACACGAAAACTCCTCAGGAGAGGATGTTGTGAGGGACATTTTGTTGCAGTCAATATTGCTTTTAGGGAAGATGAAGCCCAACCACAGGGCCTGCCTGAAGCATTAACCCTGGGTCCTCCTAAGGAACCACATAATTCACCYTGGATTTTGCTTAACTAAAATGTCTTTGTCTTTATTGCTAAATAAAAAAAGGAGTTAGGGAACCTGAGGGCCATGGGTCAAGCAAGCTGGRTCCCTGATTGTCCACACTGCTCAGGAATCACCTACTTTTATGGGCTCCGTTTCAGGCAGCACCACTTGGCTTTTTCTCAGCTTTAGTTTGTCAGTGAGTTCATTCCAGAAACGGTGCAAAAGTGTCAGTGGATAGCATTGCATGGGATTTGGCTCAACAGGGTTTACATGTGTTGGTCTGTGGGCACAGTCAGGGAGTCTGGCGGAAAAAGGAGATGAAAATCATGTGAAGCCAAGTGAAGAGATGCTAGCAAGGTTGGTTAGACATTGCTTCATTTTTTAAATGTCTGATTAGAGTAATTGAATTAACTTTTAATTTTTGAGTAGAGTGATGTTACTTTCAAACTAAAGACTTACATAATGTGTGAGCTATTTCAGGTATCTTGGCAAACCTCGTGGAATGAAAGCCTTAAGTGAGGAGTACTGGTCTAATCCTGATGTGCCAGCTGCCTGAACACAGATCAGGACACTCCAAGAGTCTCTCCTCCAGGAAGCATTTGTTTTGGGAGCTGCCCATGGGAGTACTCATATGAGCAAAACATCTCCTCTTGGTGTTATCCAGAACTTCCTCAGCATGTTTAAGGGCTTGGAAGCAGGGCTGGAGACTTGAGGACAAAGAGTAACTCCCTGTCCAATGATGATTGATTGTGTTGATAAAATTTATGATGTGTAGGACGTAACATTCCCTTAAAGAACAGGACAGTGGGTCAGGAAGGTGTGTGAAGGAACGTGCACATCACAAGCTTCAGCTGCTSTACAGCTACGTTATTTCAGGTTTTCCTTTGGCTTGAAGGGCCCAAATCCAACAGAAGTCCAGACAAAGGTAAGCCCAGGGGTACAGTGACTGGAAGGTGTCTGGAAATTCCAGGTGAGTCATAAGAAGTACAACTGCCTTATTAGTTGTTTATTTTATATAGTCTGAACTCTGTATAGAGCACTTTCGGACAGAGTTCCCAAAGCCAGCATTCTCTCTGCGGTGGCTTGAGAAACACCTACAGCTAAACATTTGATCTTCTAGAAATCAAATGGGAAATCTCAAGGACTCCCTACCACATAGGTATTTTGGGGAAAGTGTATGTGGAGGWAATGTTAACTTTGATGAGAATCTGAAAGATCAGTTTCTAGATAAAAAAAAAAAATCCTACAAAAGCAGGATCTGCTCTCTCTTTACTGAGGACATACTGTACAAAAATACTACAATGATTAATAAGAGACAGTAATACTTTTTGGGTGCAGATAGATATGGAATACAGTAACATTATAGATCACCCCAGGACAGTCTGTGTTGAAGAAAAATAGGACTTTTTGCTTAGTCCTTTCCTACCTGACATTGCTTGGTAGGACTTTTCTCCCTTTCCTAAATGCCCTTCAAATTTCACAAAAACAGTGCACACTCTGCCAGTTAGGTTTCATTTTCAGAGAACAAACAGATCACTGTACCCTGGGTGATAGCCCCTCCGCACAAAAAAAGCCAGGATGCACTTTTGGTTCCAAGACATCAACAGAAATTTATGTCAGCTTCATGAAAACATAGTACAAAAGACTCATTTTGCTATGTAGACAATACCTTATAAAACAAAGATACAGCATAAACATTGTGGGAACAGTGTACAAAAAAAAAAACAATCTATGAAATGCTGATTGGAACAGGARTTCTTCATTTATACTGCTGCAAAAACGCATGAAATGTAAACTAAGATAATGTAAGTGTACTCCAACCTTTATTCGTATTTTTAAATATAAAGATGATTTGGCAAGATTTATTATCTATGCCAGTCAGACCATTATTTGAATGGACAATTATCCATATTCACTGACTATACAATTTCTTATTTTCAAAAAGGAGCGATGTCTTCTCTAAAACCATGTGCACTCAGAATGAGATTTTTGCACTTGAATTACAACTTYAGTGTTTCTGATAGGTGTTCATTGCTGATTCAGAATGACACTGCTTTACAGGAGTTTCTGACACGCTAAGTTTCATTGTGT